GCTTGTAGAGTTTCTGCTGAGAAATCAGCTGTTAACCTTATGGGAGTTCCCTTGTATGTTATTTGTCATTTTTCCCTGTTGCTTTTAATAATTTTTCTTTGTCTTTAATTTTTGTCAGTTTGATTACTATGTGTCTCGGCATGTTTAACCTTGGGTTTATCCTTCCTGGGACTCTCTGTGCTTCCTGGACTTGGGTAGCTATTTTCTTTCTCATGTTAGGGAAGTTTTCGACTATAATCTTTAAAAATATTTTCTGAGGTACTTTCTTCCTCTTTTCTCCTTCTGGGACCCCTATAATGTTGATGTTGGTGTGTTTAATGTTGTCCCAGAGGTCTCTTAGGCTGTCTTCATTTCTTTTCGTTCTTTTTTCTTCTGTTCCGTGGCAGTGATTTCCACCATTCTGTCTTCCAGGTCATTTATCTGTTCTTCTGCTGCAGTTATTCTGCTATTGATACCTTCTAGTGTGTTTTTCATTTCAGTTATTGTATTGTTCATCTGTTTGTTTGTTCTTTTATTCTTATAGGTGTTTGTTCTTTAATTCTTCTAGATCTTTGTTAAACATTCCTTGCATCTTCTCGATCTTTGCCTCCATTCTTTTTCGAGGTCCTGGATCATCTTCACCATCATTATTCTGAGTTTTGTTTTCTGGAACGTTGCCTAGTTCCACTTCATTTAGTTGATATTCCTGGGTTTTATCTTGTTCCTTCATCTGGTACATATTCCTCTGCCTTTTCATTTTGTCTGTCTTTCTGTGAATGTGGTTTTCTTTCACAGGCTGAAGGATTGTAGTTCTTCTTGCTTCTGCTGTCTGCCCTCTGGTGGATGAGGCTATCTAAGAGGCTTGTGCAAGCTTCCTGATGGAAGGGACTTGTGGTGGGTAGAGCTGGGTATTCCTCTGGTGGGCAGAGCTCAGTAAAACTTTAATCCACTTGTCTGCTGATGGGTGGGGCTGAGTTCCCTCCCTGTTGGTTGTTTGGCCTGAGATGACCCAGCACTGGAGCCTGCAGGCTCTTTGGAGGGGCCAATGCCAGACTCTGGGAGGGCTCCTGCCAAGTAGTACTTTCTAGAACTTCTGCTGCCAGTGTCCGTGTCCCCATTGTGAGACACAGCCTTCCCCTGCCTCTGCAGGAGATCCTCCAACACAAGCAGGTAGGTCTGCTTCAGTCTCCTATGGTGTCACTACTCCTTCCCCTGGGTCCTGATACACACACTACTTTGTGTGTGCCCTCCAAGAGTGGAGTCTCTGTTTCCCCCAGTCCTGTCAAAGTCCTGCAATCAAATCCGGCTAGCTTTCAAAGTCTGATTCTCTGGGAATTCCTCCTCCTGTTGCCAGACCCCCAGGTTGGGAAGCCTAACATGGTGCTCAGAACCTTCACTCCAGTGGGTGGACTTCTGTGGTATAAGTGTTCTCCAATTTGGAGTCACCCACCCAGCAGTTAGGGGATTTGATATTATTGTGATTGTGCCCCTCCTACTGTCTCACTGAGGATTCTCCTTTGTCTTTGGATGTGGGGTGTCTATTTTTGGTGAGTTCCAGTGTCTTCCTGTCGATGATTGTTCAGCAGTTACTTGTGATTCTGGTGCTCTTGCGAGAGAGAGTGAGCACACATCCTTCTACTCCAACATCTTGTACCAGTCTCCTAAAGCTAAGTTTAAAATGGGGATAATGAAACTTCTTTCAGCGTTGTTGTGGGGATTAAATGTTATACTGTTATGTACAGCATTTAGAACTGTAACTATAAATGGATGATGCTATTATTATATTACCTTCAAAATGAAACCTTGAGAAATGAAAATGGCTACACTGTAGATACCATGAAACAAGGATACTCACCCCAAGATCACACAATGTCAAGGCACTAGGCAACCAAATGATTTACAGTGTTTACACATTCAGCCTGATGTACCTTCTCTGACTTTGTAAAGCCAATCAACACTGCAGGGCTGAGATCATCGTGCTCATAGACTGTGATGGAGGACCCTCTAGTGGCTTTAGATATTAACATTTTCATTACAAAGATTGAACAAATGTAGCTTTGTGGATTTATAAGCTAACAGCAAAGATTTGGGGTTCGTTAATCTTAGATAAAGCTAATACAGCTAATCTTAGATTAAAGCTAATAAAGGGCCATTAATTATATCACTTCTAATAGTAATTCTTTAGTCAACTTTTCCATAAAAGTCATGTTCTGGGCATTTATTAGATCTTGCAGTTCTGAAAGACAAAATTACATTTTAAATTAAAACATAAATTATATTGAAGATTTGAATTGCACATAAAATCTTCAGAGTAGTTCTTTATGCCATGAAATTGAAAATAATTTGGAATCACTCAAAAGAATGGTGCAATAGCAAAACTGTGGTTTTTTTAGACGTAGCCTTTCTACAAACTTGACTGTATGACTGGGTGATGCCTTGCTTCATTTCCATGGACCTCGGTTTCTTCATATTAGAAGATAGGACTCTAAGCCTAAACGTTTCCAAGGTCCTTTCCAACTTTTAAGATTCTTTGATTTTAGGCGGACACGTTATCCATTTTCTTTTAATACTAGGGCTCTGGCACAGTAATTTAAAGTCCATTTGAAGATGAATTCGTAACATTTTATAAAACCAACCCTAGCCATATGTAACAGAGATGGCTAGTCACTAACAAAGATTCGTGTTCTCCTTCCACAGTGTAGAATCTTGTGAAGCAGCTGTGCAATCAGGACTCCATTGAGCAGCCCCTCTTGGCATCAACGTAGGACCATATGACTAGTTCTTAAAGAAATGTGAGCAAAACCGATGTGTGTACTCCAAGTCAAGGTCAATTATCATGTGTGATTCTGTTTTTTCTCAACCTGTCCTCAAATGGATTACACCTGTGCTACTTAGAGTCCCAAGATGCCAGAGCTACATGTGAAAGGAATCTGGGTACCCGAATTACCTGTGGGAGTTGAGCTGCTCAGGGGAGCCACCCAATCAGAACAGCTGCAGTGCACTTTGTGTGAGAAATAAACCTACAGTGTTAAGACACTGAAAATTAGGGGTGGTTTGTTCTAGCAGCTAGCTTTAATTATCCTAACATACTCTCCAAATCTGTGACGTTGCAATCTAATTAGAGGTTTTGCCTAAAAGGAATCTCCCTGTCTCTGTCTGTCTGGCGGTGCGGGGGTTGGGGGTGGGGGCGGGGGTTGTGACAGAGAGGATTAGTCTACTCATCGTTTTGTGATTAGGAAGAAGGTTGTGAAAAAGGTCTTATCAAGATTTCCTTTATTTTGTTACACAAAGGGAGTCTGATGTGGACAATCTTCTGGTTATTGAAGGTTCAAGATGCCACAATTACTGCTGAGTCCTAATTATGAGGTGTTTTGGAACAAAAGAATGTTCAATGATCACTAATCTAGGTAAAATGAACTAAGCAGTGAACTCGCTTTCAGAAACTCCAATTCTTCCGCATTTTGAGGTGAACTTGTTAATGGGGGAAGGTGGGAGAGGAATCATGGATTATACCCAGTAACAGGTATCAGAGTTATTAACTGATAAGGTTTGTTTTTGATAGCAGGGAAAATACGGAAGACAAAAGCAAGTTTTTTATTTAGCTATATCTCTTTGCAAATACTGACAATATTGTATTTAAGCTAGCATTCTATAGGAAGATAATTGAGAATCATTGATGTAGAAACACATCAGCAACAGTAAGAGAAAACATTATTACAGTAAAAATTGGATTGTGGGACAATGCTGGTCTGGAGCTACAGGCTATGACGCTGGCCAATCAGAAAATTATAGCAAATGCTTAATTAGCAGGAATCCATAACAGCTGTACAGCCTCGTGGAATTAGCACTCCTAGGATTTTATTATACTTTGCCACCTAAATTACTTTCATTTAGGAGCCTGAATTCAAATTGGTTCTGTAAACAAGATGATGAACGTGGCTGTACTATGAGAAAAATTAGCTTGTGGAAATTGAAATTTTTTTTTGTAGATACTAACAAAATGTAAGGGGTACATAGATCTTTATCTAGCAATTCAGCACCTAGGAATCTATTCAGAGAAATTTTAGAAGTGCGCAAACAGAAGTTATTTTTCATAGAAAAATGGGAACATCTAAAGTTCATCAGTTGAAAACTGATCAAATTAATTATGGAAAATCTATACTACAGAATGCTATGTACCTCTTGCAAAGAATGAATAGATGTTTATGTGCTGAGATGGAAAGAAGTCCTCAATAAAAGGACAGACATTGAAGATACATATGTACTGAATATACACAAGTCTGATCCTGTTCTTCTGTTTTTGAAAATGATAGGTTTTGCAGAAAATAAGGACTGGGAAGTTAAAGACCAGTTAATGAGTTAATTCTAAGGTGAGAATTTTCTGTTAATTTATACCTTTTGTATCCTTAGTTGACTGAATGTGAATTACCTTCATAATTAACATCTTCATGTACCCTACCCTCTGGCCAAAGACTCACCACTCTAAATCTTTTTTCATTCCTTACCTCCATGCCTATGCTCTAAGATCACTTCCCTACAGAACATCTTCCCCAAATGTCATTTTGGTTTAAAGGCGATCTCTTCCAAGCAATTAATCTCACTGCTTACATTCTAGAGAATTCTCATTTATCTAAACACCTCTTACCCTTGAAGTCTTACAGGCATTTATAATCAGTTCAGCTTGTATCCTAGTGTCTTAGCTACCTATTTTAGGTTTTATGTTGCCCACTTATTAGGTAGTAGGTAGTAGGATTCTTGTGGAAAGAAAGCAAGACATTCATCTTTGTGCCCCTACAATGCTCAACAAATGTTTGCTGAATTAATGGGGCATTATTTGTAATTCAGTGTCCATGCTGCTAATGATTTAGAAAGCAACCAAATGATTCACCACTTTACTTTCAAATTTTTATTTATATAGAATCTTCAAATGTTTCCCTTTAAATTTTACAAGCTAAAACCCCAAAGCTCAAAATGATATATTTTATGTCACAGTACATAAAATAAGTACGAGGAGAGTCCAATCATTTTGAGGAAAAGCTTTAATAATTGTACAAACATTAATATTTACAATATTCTTTATTACAGATATAGACAACATGGCATATTTAAAAGCACAAAATAGTTGAAATCATTATATCTTATTACAGAACATTCCAAAATTCAAACTAATAAAGAAATCCATAAACACTGATAACATTTGGGGAAAACAAGAGCAACAGGTTTACCAATAATCATAGTAAACTTATACATAATACACAATTTACACATCAAATCCACAAATTTAAAGATATATATGACCTATCTATTTAAATCATGCTACAATCTAAATACTATTTTATAATCCATAGGTTGAAACAAATGTTCTGTGGTAACCTATGAAACAGGAATACAAACTATAAAATCATAATTAACATACTTCTTAATTCCTAAGAGAGTACTCCAGGAAACCTCAAAGACGGCAGATCAGGCATTTTTTGCTGAAATTAAAGTTCTTATGAATATATTCATAAATATAGTCAAAGGTATAAAAATAATACAACCCAGATACCATGAGTTAATTTTACTTGTTCAAATTTAGTTTGGTATAGAGTCCCTGGCATAATCACAGCTTCTCTGGGATATTCTGACTTTCTCCTGACTTAGGGGGGATGACATATTTATTCTTTGCCTTGTTCCAGAAAGGATTTAAGGTAGCTTAAAAGATAAGATTTAGAAAATACCAGAAAGCACAAATTATAGGTTAAATGAAAAAACAAGAGTTTGGGGGAACAGCACACATAAAACCATTTAAGAAAAGGTCAGGAATTAAGCTAAAGTATATTACATTATTCTCCACAGTGATTTTCTGGAAATATTGCAAAATGTGGTATTAATTTGTAAGAAAACTATTAAACCACTGGTAAATTGGAGATGCAGATCAAATTTCTTTGTTAAATTTTGTATTAACCCTGATGAAACAGATGATGTTACAAATGTATGTGCTTTTTTCTTCGTGCTTGTGAGAAAAAAGTTTTCCTAAATGTCATAATCTGTGACTCTATAGATTTAGTGCCTAGCTCTGGATAGAGAAGAGCATAGGTAAAAAAAAAAAAAAAAAAAAAAAAAAAAACCCACAACATTTGGGTACCCTGACTTAATTTCTACTGAGAAACCCACCAACTGGATGCTTGTTGATGACCTGAGGATGGTAGCTACCTTCCGGGTGGCCAGGTGTCCTATGGCTCTTTTGTAGGGACAGAACAAAGCATCAGTTCTAGGGCCTCCTGACTGCATCAGTTCCTCCAGGTCCTCCAGCTCACTTCATTAGGACCCAGCAAGACAAAGAAGAAGGTAAACTGTAGAGCAGGAAGCCCACTCAGGTTGGCATGCTGAGACCACAGCCTCCTCTGCTGCCCAGATGGTCTGCATGTCACAGCCCTTGCCCCAGTCCTTTGGGGGAGGAAAGTTATGGAGAGAGGGCTGGGGCAGCATTAGTCAGCTTCTGGGAAATATGAATGGGTTTGTTCAACTCTATTCTTCAGGCCCTGCTTTCAACACATGACAATGAAGGATCTTGTACCTATACACTGTCAGGTAAGAAGTGAGGGAGTGAGGATGAAAATAAAGGGCTTGAGGGAAATGCAGGAAGAAAAGACGGTGGGACACGTGGCATGAGTCTCAAAACTATTGATAAAGAATAGAATAAAATATCTACCTGAAAACTGAAGTTAGCCACAGTGGCCTATCGTTCTTTGGGGGATGAATGGTCCCAAGTAACACTCCTGAATTTTGGTCACATCAGTAAAGAACAAAGTTCAAGTCTATGGATCTAAAGCTGCAGGTACTGCAATGTTCTTGGCTGTGTGGCAAAGCTCCTCTAGGGTTTGTGAGGTGGGCTCATAGGGGAGAGGGTAGTGACTGCCATTTTCCCAATAGCACCCTTCATAGTATAGGCAGGGCCAACTAATCTATTAGGCACCAGGTCTCAGGCCCGTAATACATTTAGAGGCCCCCCAAAATGTTTTAATTTCTTTTAAATTCATAAGAAAAAAACCAAACTTCTAGATTTAAGGATGTGTTTATATATAAAATTCATTTTATACAAATGCAATTGTAACATTAATTTTTAATTTTTTATGGAAGAAGAGGCCTAAGAAGGCAAAAGTGTCTAAGGCCTATGAAAGTCATAAAGCTGCTTTGAGGGCCAATGGTTCAAGGATAAAATTACAGAGGGGTAAGGAGAGTCTGATCTTGTGGGTCTTATTCCACTGATTTTTCTTTTTTTGAATGTTACTTTGGGATTAGATTTTTAAGAGTGCTAGGTCAAATACTAGTGAAGTATTTGTACCAATTTCCACCAGGCAAGCTGGAAAAGGAAAATAAATTAAGCTCATTATTTTATTGTCACTGTGCAAAAGAAAGAACCAAATCAGGATGAAGAGACTTGGATGTTTTCAAGTCCCATCTTCACTCTGTAAACATTACTAGAGGTAGGTTTTCCTCTGAGACCCTGCCTCCTAAACTTCCTGCATTACACTGCCACCCTCAGCCCTAGACTTCCTCTGTGCTTCTCAAGGTCTGGCTCCTACTGCCCTCAGCAGGCCAAGGTTGGCAGTGACAGGAATGTGGGCACCTGTAGTTACAAAAATGTTTTAAGACTATGATGAGAAAAAAAAAAAACAATGAATGAGGGAGGAGGGGAGGAAGATATCAGATTTTAATATAAAATTACATGATGCAAAAAAAAAAATGGGGAAAGATTTATACCAAAATGTTAACTGTGCTCTCTGCTTTTTAAAAAATATTTTCTCATAAATGTACTCTATCATGAGAAAAAAAGTATTATTTTAAAAACTGTTCTCTCAAAGCTCTAAACTCTGAATATTACCACCTTTGAGAGCTCCTCACAGTATGGCTTAGGTTACTAAATGTGGTGAACCACTAGCATGCAGAGGACCCAGACTGAGAACAGAACTTTTAACAATTTCCACTATTTTCCAACCCCAATTCATCAATATTACTGGGAAATGTCAATCAGGAAAGCTAACTAATACCACTTTCTAGGATCTGTTCCTGATACAATGAAAAAAGTATGTCAAAAGGAGGGGTAGAAAGGAACAAATCACTACCCTTTTACAGAATCACAGACTTTCTGCCCTTGAATTACAGGTGAAGATTCTGAGGTCCAGAAGTTTATGTGATCTTACCACTGTCACACAACAAAGCTGGTAAGAGAATTAGGGTAAGAACTCAGGTTTCCTGATTCTTGGTCTATAGCTCTAATAAGCCCAGTCCCAAAAGTAACTGCTTTGTAAGTTATGTTTCACCGTTTATCCTAAATACATATAGAAAAATGGAAAATACTACCATTTTTCTTTAAAAACATTCATTAATTTGGGAACTGTAACATCTCAAAATACAAGCTCCAGGTGGGTAAGTCCAACAATCAGAGTGAATCATAAGATTTTAGACCTGAAAGGATGCAGGGCAGATAATTTAGACCTCGGTTACACATGAATTTAGGCCCAGAGAAGGTAAACTATATCCCTCAAATCACAAGGTTGAGTCAAGACCCAGGTCATCTAAAACTGGCTCACTGCTCCTTCCAATACTGACTTATTTTCCTTGGATATTCATTAAACCAAAAAAGGTAAAAATACAGAATCATATGCAGATTAGAATAAAACAGATATTAATAAGAATGCTTGGGAAAAGGACATAAGTTAATTCTTTAGTTAACAGAAGTAAACTAAAATCTATCAGAATAAATCAGGCAGCATCACTACTAACTTTCATTTGAAAACAAATTTAAATGTAAATCACAATTTTTAGTTTTATTGTTGTTTGAAGATGATGCAAGACCTTTCAATGTCTCAGGCTCATGCATTTGAAAATAAATTCTAAATGTTTGCAATTCTCTGGAGCAGGGTTTGGAAGATAATGGCCAGCAACCTGTTTTCTGTGAGGCTCATGAGCTAAGAATGGTTTTATGTTTTTAAAGCGTTGTTAAAAAACATAAAGAAGAATGTCTGATAGAGATGGTGTGTAGCCTGCAAAGCCTAAGTTACTGACTAATTGCCCCTTTACATAAAAAGTCCACTGATCCCTGTTCTGGATTCAGCAAGTATATGAAACGGGGCAGAATACATAATATGTCCTGGAAGGATTTTTTGTTTTTAAAATTAAGTCTGATTTATTTAAGCTTTATTGTAATCTGCCTCTTTCTCCTCATAGCAGGTAGTAGGAAAAAAAAAAAAGTCTAGTTTAAGAGTTATGATTACCTGTGTTCTAGTTAACCGAGCCTTTATCACACAAATGAACATAAGTGGACCTATAGTTGAAGCTTATTATGTTATGTATCTGAAATCCATACAAAATGTTTCAGCTGAGAAAATGGCATATCCTATAGTAGTGTTGTTATACAATAAAATGGAAGCAAATATCTGTAATTAAAAAACTGGTAATTTGATTCTCTCCTTTAGATCTCTTGTCTGTTTTGAAGATTTTCTCCTGATGCCTCCCCTGTCCTCCCACAGCATGTCCTTAGATTCATTAAACCAGCAGTTCTCAACCATGTTAATTACGCTGTGACCACCCACCTGTATCTCATTTGCAACCATAAACAAGCCTCACCAAAACACATGAAAAGAATGGAAGTGCTCCTCACGAGACAGGAGATAGCAAAACTGGAATGACTAGTTCAGGGGGAAATAAAAATCTGAGACACAGTGCACTTATCAATCTGAAGACAGCAGGGAGGCTGCCCTTCAGTCCACACCCTGCTGACCGGGCCGAGGAGGACTAAGCGCCACATATGAAAACAAGTCCAAGTCCATGTCTCTTTCTTGTCACATGGTTTATGTGGCAAAATTTGGATTTCGTGAACTAGCACAAAAAAAAAAAAAAAATCGAAGCTGTACCACTATTAACTAAATTACAATAATTTCAAGGCTATAACTCTGAAAGTACGGTCTACTGTGTCACGGTTAAGACGTCTTACTTTAAAATAGTCACGTTAACAGCGCCTTTGGCTCCACAGCACACTTCTCTTCAGCCACTCCATTCTCTGGCTGGCTTTTGTAATTGGAAAGGAATAAATTTTCTATTTGAGTCAAGAATTCTTCAGCAATGAAGCAATTGGCCACTTTGCTCAGAGTTTTCCTCAGACACTCCAAAAGCTAGTTGAAAAGAAAAGTTTTATATTTAAACACAAAAAGTGGTGAGAAGAGGGTTTGCATCACTATCACTATTTTATCCCTTTCCAAATCTCCCATTTTCTAATGCTTAAACGAGAAACATTTTCCTTAAAGGTGATTGAGGATAGACTTGTGTTTAATAACTGTACAGCTGAAGTGCAGGAAGCCATTGCTGAGGAATGCTTAGCAAAGCTTGTCCTGAGCCCAGCTCAACAGAAGCAGCACATTCTTCAGTCTGCTACAAATTGTTTGTGGAACTTCTATGGGTTCCCAGGACCCCAGGCGCCTCCCAACTGCTGTCCATGTCCTCATCTGCCCGCACCCCACCCCCATCCTGGGGCAGTGCCTCTCCCCACAGCAGCCTTAAATCTAGGTATATTAGTCCAGCACCTCCTTGGTGAGTAATCTTTGAGACTGGGGGGTGGTGTGGGCGTCAGGCCTGCCTCTTGCAGGGCCTGGAGCCGGGCCTCTGACTGGCATTTGTCCAGGCCCAGGTGCCAGGAGAGCTGCACTGTGGCCTCCAGAAAGGGTACCAGAAAAGGGTGAGGGCTCTTGTCCCCCAGCAGCTGTAGGGCCTTCTCACAGCGTGCCCAGGACTCCCCGGGGTCCTCCAGCTCCTGGTGGCACACAGCCAGCCCCACCAGGGTCAGCAGAGGGCAGTCTGAGCCCGAGGGGACACCCAGCTGGGCCTGCAGCTGCCAGGCGTTGGCCCAGAGCGCCAGGGCCTCGCAGTAGAGGCCAGAGGAGGTGAGGTGCAGTTCCTTTCTGATTTTATATAAGGAGATAAAACTGAAATTGCATGTATGATGCTTTCTACTTTGGACAAACTTGTGACTTTGCTTCTTTTTTTAGTAGTTTTATTTACAAAGCCATGAATCCTATGGGATAAAAATCTATGGACATAAAAATACAGGATTCTACCATTTCAAAAATAGGATGATGGAGTCTATTTCCTGGGAAATGTGCATATTAATTTTCCAACAGAGCAAAGAAAAAGTGGCTATAATAGGAGGGGGTAAAAAATATTAAAAAGAGGGGCTTCCCTGGTGGCACAGTGGTTAAGAATCCGCCTGCCAATGCAGGGGGCATGGGTTCGATCCCTGGTTCCAGGAGATCCCACGAACAACTAAGCCTGAGAGCCACAACTACTGAGCCCACGTGCCACACTACTGAAGGCGCAGCTCTAGGGCTCGTATGCTGCAACCACTGAAGCCCGCCCACCTAGAGCCCGTGCTCCACGACAAGAGAAGCCACTGCAATAAGAAGCCCGTGCACTGCCGTAAAAGTAGCCCCGGCTCGCTGCAACCAGAGAAAGCCCATGTACAGCAATGAAGACCCAACGCAGCCAAAAAAAATAATAAAATAAAATAAAAAGAAATTTAAAAATTTTCTATTCCCAAACTGTTACCAAAGGAAAAAAAGACCAATGTTGCCAATCTTACTGAAATTCATTATACTCATAGAAACAAAACTAGAAGTGAAATAAAATAATTCAAGACTCTTTTTTCCTACCAGAAAGTAAAATGACCATTTAAATTTAATTGTTAGATTTATACTACCGTTTTTAAAAATGATCAATTGTTAAAGCTAAATGGAAACATGGCACTTTTGAATTTAATAAAATAAGAAAAATGTTCTCCATTGTGTACAATAATAATGTGCTAAGAAATTTATCAGCCAACATGGACAAATTTTTTCTAAAACAGCATTATTTCTATATGCAAGCATGGGTGCCAAAACATATTACTAATTATCTCCTAGAAATTAATTTTAGAAAGGAAAAAGCAATAAAGGAAATACACAGAAAAGCGTATCCACAAAGCATTAGGCATCATGGGAAAACACATCAAGATGAATAGCTTTGGAATCTGTGAGCAATGAAACCAATTAAAGTGAAGGCAGCTTACTTTCTGCAAACAAGTCAGGTCAGAATCCCGGCGAAAGATTTTATCCATGGGGACACTGCTGTTGGAAGAAATATGAAAACAAACCAATGAAACAAATACTATAAATGAATCAGTTTTGTAATAAACTATCACTGATGCCATACATCACAATTTTATATTTAACTTGGGTTTTCCCTAAAATGTGATTTAATGAGAAACACTGCAGAGATGTGCAACCATCTCAAACCACAGTACATACCTCCGGGATAACCTGTATTTTTCTATTATCCATTTTGTCTTTTCAAGCACTAATCCCCACCGAGGTTCTTCTAACATCTGTTGTACTTCAAATTTATAAGGTAAACCTAGAAAAGCATAAAGCAGCACATTTTTACATTTTACATTTTCTTAAATCTCCAATCTCCTTTTAATTACTTAAAATTCCCTTCCATGTTTTCATAACCGCAGCTTGGCAGACCAGCTAAACAGCATGTTAAACATAGTGGGCATTCATTAAATATGCACTGCCTGGCTGAACTTGGTTCATCAGGTATATTAATGCCAAGCAATTAATAAAGAACAGTAAAACTGCCATTTGCATGACAATTCTATGCAAGGAACTGTGAGAGGTAAGATGATCACATAATTTATCATCCAAACCAAGACACTTTTGGAGTGAAAGCTGGCACTATTAATAATTGTGCCAGAACCACAGGCTTAAATTGGGATTGACCTAGGCAAACCAAGATATATTCCATCCCAGTGATTTTTTTTTTTTAAACACGTTATCAAGCTTACAGCACTGCTATAAGGTAGGTAGCATTATTCCTATTTAACAGATAAAACTGAGGCTGAGACAGGTTGGATAAGCTCTTTCCACTAGTAAAGCAGAGCTTGGATTTCAAATCCCCCCAGGCTTGCCCGACTTCTGAGCCCACATTCATTCCACCTCCCTCTACGCGCTGATCTAAGACTAGACAGGGGCTAGGTTTAATTCTGGAGAGGCAGTAACTGCACTTGAGTCATGCTAAACTCTGGAGGAAACAAGTCCAAGGGGTAGATATCACATACATAAGTCAGAAAGGAAAAAATACCAAAAGATGAGCCTACTTAGACATTTCTCACGTATCTTTCAAAATCTCCATGTAATTGTATTTGCAGTATATTAAAGGCTCAGCTGATTCATTACCAAAGGCCAATACCATAATAATAATAACACTTATATAATGCTTACTATGTGCCAGGCTTTATGCTTTTTATATAGATGTAAGGCCAGTTACATAAACTAGCTACCAGTGTTGTCCCCAATGTTTTTTTTTTTTTTGACGAGGACACTGAGCCACAGAAAGGTTAGTTATTAAATAACCTGTTCTTGGACATATCTAATTAGTAAGAGGTAGAGCCAGGATTTGAACCCAGGCAGTCTGGCTCAAGTTTATGTTCTTAATGTTTACATTATACTGCCTATCAACTTTCATTTTTGCCATCGTAGGCTTTTCGAGTAAACAAAATGTCAGCAAATCAGAAGGTATTAGGGAAGGTATTAAGAAAAAAATCATAATTCTACTTCCACACAATACAAGCATAACTTGTCAATGTGCCCTAAAAAGGCTTTTTTCTCCCCATTTTTTTTTCAGGTGTATGGAAGGAGAGAAAGGAACAGCAAGCCTGATGATAACTGACCTTGTTTCATTTCTCAATTCTCTTCCATTTCATTTTCCCCCTCCAGGAACTTAAGAAGAGTGACACATTATAGTACATAAGCTATTACACAAACTCCTTCTGTGATAACAATCATTTACTTGATATGTTTTGATTACCTACTAAGCACAGACAATAGCTATGATCATAACTACCTATTTTAGACCTATTATTTACTAAGCACTTTACATACATTACCGACAGCCTCTACAACCTCCTGTAAGCAAGTTAATAATTTTTTCTCATTTTACAGATTTGGCAAATGAGAATGAGAGGGATTAAGTAACCTGCCCAAGGTAAAATAACTAATAAATATCAGAGTTGGGATCTGAATCCAGGTAAGCAACTCCTACTCTCAATGAAAGTAAAAAATGAGACTAAAAGAGAGGTAAATAAACAAATACAATTTTCAGTCTGTGCTCATAAAAAAAACATGAAAATACACACACACATAACACGTCATACATCTCTATTTGGTATTAAGAATATTTTCTAAGTTAAAAAAACGGCACTAAAACCAGTAAAAATTTCTTTTTGTACTGATTATTTTTTGATATGCTTATTATTTTTTTAATTGAGGTATAGTTAATTTACAATGTTGTGTTATTTTCAAGTGTATAGCAAAGTGATTCAATTATACATATATGTACTGATTACTTTTATCCACTAAAGTGTCAGAATAAAACGAATCACTAAGTATATTTCTGGCCTATTACAAATAGAGAAAATGATTAACCATTAGACATACTGTAAAGATAGGACTTGGGTACACACCTAATAGAGGGGGAAAAAAAAAGAATGAATCAATGAATGAACAAATAAATAAGTAAAGGGTCCAGTTCAAAGTACTGTAACACAAGGTATCCCAGGGCTTCTAGGAAATTTTAATTCTTGAACCAGAAGGTTTCCAAGAAGAACAAAGAGAAGAACCGAGGATTAAGACCTAACAAGCAGTGTTAACAATGGTCAAGTCATGTAAGAGGCAGCTCTGCCCAAGAGAACTTTCTGCAATGATGATAACGTGGAATACTTGTGTGTTGTGACGGTAGCTTATGTGAGAATCCAGCACTGTGCCCGCTAATCTTTCAGGTGATTCTTTCCCATTTGGGGTAGTCTGTTCACACACAGGCATCGGTCTTTATCTTGCTAAATAATAAATTTGAACCTTCTACAAATCTTTGGAGTCTGCTCTCTAGGCAGCTTTCTGCTCTCTGGTACAATGTCTTGCAAATTTAGTTGCCCTGGTCTCCTTGCTCTTACCTCCATCACCTCAACTCAGGGTCTGCTAGGCTCTGGATGGGTTTCCGCCTTGTGCCACACCTGGAAGTTCTTTTAAGTCAATAAGCTAGGTTAACTTGGGCTCACTTTGTTTCCCATCTCTCAGGAATCATATTCTTTCACTGTCTGATGTTATATCCTAAATACCACTGTTCTCTGTATTTTGTCCAGTTTTTTGGTTGTTTCAGACAGGTCCTTGTTACTTCATTTTGGCCAGCAGTAGGATTCTAGGAACTGAATTTTAAACTTCATTTAATTCTAATTAATTTAAACAGTCACACATAGCCACATGTGACTGTATTAGACAGCATCAGAGTAGAGGCTCACTCCCCAAATCTAGCAGAATGTGACAGTAAGACACGGTTTAAATTGAGAACAAGTTCATTGTGATTCTTCCTTTTGTTAACTTTTTTGTAAAATTATACTGGTGTAAAGAATGATGTATATATGTGATATGTTCAAAATGGGCATTTTGGACTAAAGTTAATGTCAGTACTATTCATTCAACAAAAACCTACAGAGCACTGACCACTCCTTAGGTGTAAGACAACTCATTAGGTACTACAGGAGATACAAAGAAGACATAGTTCCTGCTCTTTGGGGCTCACAATTTAGTGAGACAGGCTAAATAAATAAATTATATTAAAACACAAAAGCAACCACGAAGGCAGGAAACAAATGTTGCAGGTGCACAAAGAACAGAGCAACTAATACTAAATGACATGAGGGGTGGTAGTGCTGGGGTCTTTACCAAAGAGGGTATTTTTGTGACATTATTAAGAGAGGGTACCTGAGTGACATTATTAAGAATGAAGAAATTAATTTGTTAAACATTCATTTAGTACCTACTTTATGCTAGGCCCTGTGCTAGAAACTGAGAATAGAAAAATGAGTACAATATCATATCTACCTTCAAGGGGCTCATGAGCTAATGGGGAAGAGTATAATGTACAGTGACAGTATCCAGAGAGGACAGTCAACTAGAGCAGTGGTATTAAGGACGAAAAGAGAGTATCCTAGAGACGTAATTGTTTCCTCTAATCTTTTCCTTCCATCCACACTCGTTTCTTACACTCCCCTACTTTTCCTAGTCTGCTACACTAATTCTCTATCCAGCCAGTTGATTGAACAGCAGTGGACATAAATCCCAAAGGAGCCAAGTCATATGATGGGCTAAACCAACCAAATTCTTTCTTGAGAGAGACAGATATAAAAATAGTTAGGCACTGTTGAGCTTAAACTGGGAGATCATGGATAGCTAGTGGTAGGGTGGTCATTATTCTTTATTATTATTATTTTTTCATTTGAATGTCATTGCAGAGAAAGCCAATCTGCATTTATCAAGAATTTTCAAGAGAACAGAAGAGACTTTGTCTGTTTTGCTTACTGCAATGTCTCCAGGACCTAATACACACACACTGCTTGGCCATAAGCTTTCTCTACATTGTAATGTTTTTGCCCAGTGGCCATGGTAACACAGTGGGAACTTTAATGCAGAAGGAAATCATAAAAGGAAAGAGGGTGGCTGCACTACATGGTATGCAAACAGTGATTCCCTAGTTGAGGACAAAAACTTTTCCATCAAATTGCTTTCAACAGGTATAAATTCTGTGATTTGTAAGATTCAAAAAAAAATGAAAGTAGAAGTAGGATTGTTTTTGTTGAAAACTTACGATAAGAGCCATCTGGGCTAATTTCATCACTTATAACCAGGCAGGTAATCTGAGAATAAGGTAAAGGATTATTTCTATTATAAGGACTAACAATCATTCCAATGAACTTTGCACCGCCTCTGGAGAAGTAACTCTACAATTTAAAAAAAAGTATAATTAGTTTCAACCACATAAATTTAAAACTCAGTATTTACCCATACCAACATTTTAAACATCCAATAGAGGAAAATGGAATGCAAAAGTACTTCACTTCCAAACAGCAACTAAATTTATTCCATACCCTAAAATCTTCAGGCCAAAACATGTCCAACCCAACCTGAACAGATCCTTTTTTTAAAGATCACCCTTAAAAAGATCACCTGGCCTGCAAAATCTATATTTGCCATGAATGCATTTACAAATTATATTCACTAGCCCCTCAGCTGTAATCTTTATCTATATGGTAATAATTTACAAACAGCTGCCTACAGCAGAAACATCCAGATATCAAACATAAAATTGCAGAAAACAAAACTCTGTTTTTTCCAGAGGTGCAAAATATATTTCCAATTATTTCAATTGTACCCAGTCCCTGTCTTAGTTATCGCCTTCATTTTTAAAGGCTCTGGGGGGAATTATCACTGTTACTTTGATGTCTTGTTTATATTAAACAGAATAGCTAATTTTCTAAGTGTTTAAATAAACATGTATTACTCTCGTAATCACTTTGCTAGAAATGTTAAAAGTGTATTTATTTAACAGAAAACAACGAGAGGGGAGAAAATATGCAATCATTTACAGACTACATACAAAAAGACCTATAAACACACCTGGTATTTGGCTTGAGTGTCAATATCTCGTAAGGAAGGATTAGGATCAAAGGCAGGATGAGAATGATACCATCCAATCACACTATAGCCCCTGACAGCCAAGGTTTCCGAGGCTTGTGTTTGTGAGACGGGATCCATCTCACACTGTAGTCCTGTACTCAGACTGTTACACGGTTCTGCTGCACAGACCTATAAAGGATTAATCCTTAAATGATTATACTGAAATCTTGTTAATTCTACTGTTTCAGTCCTTTCATACACAGATACAGAAACTTTTAAAAGCCAAGCCTTTTATCTGCCTATATAATAGGCAGCCTTTAACTTGCAAACGAATTACCCTCCAAAAGTGTGATTGTATGCAAGGAACTCAAAATCCATTTTCCTACTCAAGACAAGTTACGGGTTAGTCTTCCAGGTCGGTCTGTATAGTATCTGTGTAAACACAGTCTTTTGATGACACCTATTACTTATGATAATAATTTCTAGCAAAATGATGTATACCAAGTTTCAATTATAAGGTTAGCGCATGGCCTCTTAGGAGTTGAAGCTTTTAAATGGCAAAGGCAATGAAGAACTGAGGCCTGGTAATGTTCCCTCTTTCTCAGTGGTAAAAGGAAACAGGTGCTCAATATATGGAATGTTCAGTCACCTCTGGGAATATATAACTGTCCACATTTGCATATTCTCATTTATATCATAGGTAAGGTTTATATGTTAATTATACACACTGAAATCTATAAAAATATTTGGTATGGCAGCAGGGCTAAATAATTTTAAAAATTTTAAGAGAAAACTTACCTCAACTATCTTATCAACTTCTGAGTATCTTCCTCCTAACAGACCAATCACTTCTGCCATAGAAACATGAGCATGCTAAAAGAAATACAAGATAAGACTTAGCCCAAACATACAAACCAAACCTACCTGACCAAAAAATCAGAATAAATCTCACTTATCATAGAAGAGTCATTTACAAGTACGGTAATTATGCTTCTCTAAAATGAAATAGCATAGTAGAGGAACCAGATGCTAGGCTCAGCACACAGAGACTTAAGATTTTAGACCTATCTGTACTGCCAGCTGAGAGGCTTTGAACCAAACATTGAAACACTCCAAGATGCCATTTTTTTCATTTACAAAATGAAGATACCATTTGCTCCGCCTACTGGGAAAGGTATCATAAGGATACAAAGTAAAAATCACTCTGGGTCCTCCTATACAAAACACCATAAACACACACAACCACTGGAGATATCTCTGTAGTTTAGTGCAAAACAAGGAGTCTCCAAATTATAAGAGTTGTGCTTTGTTGTAGTTATCTAGAAGGCAGCAGACAAGAATACTAGGAAATTTAAATCGGGTTAATGATGATAAACAGTCTGCAAAAACTCACATTAATTTATTTTCTCTAAAATATGGAAACATGCAATTGTTTGGCTTTTCTCCAAAAGAAAAGACTTATTTTTTAGATTCCTTGTAAAGGAGGATAGTTAAGATCCAAAATACACGTCTTCCATACTCTCTCTTATGCCTGCAATAAAAATACACAAGAATAGAAATCAGAATAACTAAGTAAACACAATATAATATCCTTACCAAATCCATTATTAAAAGTGCTTCTGAAGCCACTTTCACCTGAAATGGCTCCTGAAATATAAAAAAAAAAAAAAAAAAAATGGGGGAGCATAAAAATAGAGATTTTGTTCTTCCTATCGGAATGCCCACCCTTTTCTCCTTTATCACACCAAGTTCTCACCACCAACCAAGGCTCAGCACAAATCAGACTTTTAAAGAAGTACATGTACAATTCAAAGCCCTAGCATGGAGAAATTCTTTTCTCATTTTCCATCTGTATCACTCATCTGACCTTCAGTGTACCCTGCCTTATCCAACCTTTCTTATACACATGCCTTGCACACACAGAAAAAGAAGAAATATTTCATGTCTGAGAGGAGGGTATTATTTACGGTCATTCAGTGATGAATAAGTAGTACCTGCTTTTCTTCACTGAAAAAATTACAAGGTATCAGTTGGAAGGGATCGAATGAGCTGGAAAAGGAAAAAGAAAAAAAAATCATTCCTAATATAATTTCAATAACATAATCAGGAAAATAACATTCATTTACAAATTTGAAAATGTGTACCAATAATCTAAACCTAAATTCTGTCTAAGTGAAAAAAATATTAAACTAGGAGAACTTCTTGTGATACAACCCTTTTGAAAGAAGCACTTTTCTTTCGGACTTGATTAAATATTTGGGGAACAACATAACCTTTGGGAAAAAGTAATTTTGTTGTCTTAATTTCTTTTAACACCCAAAGAGGAAAACATTATAAATGGCCAGACATGTGTCCTGCACTGAAAGTAGGTTTCAAAAGTTCAATGAAAACCTAAACCTGACATAAGATAGGAAAGAAAGTTCAAGAAAGATGGAAGTTTCTCAGAAACACCTCTGTCAGTACAATGTGTTCAGCAGAGTAGGGACTCAGTAAGTATTTGTTGGATGAATAAATGGCAAACAGTTCTGTTAAAGAAATTAATGGATATCGAAAGTTCTATGATAAACTCATCTTTTAAAATGAAAAAGTATAAAAGATGGAAAGAGGGATGCCTAAGCAAGGCTAGATACAAAAGCATGTGCAAATCTGAGAGAAATATTAGAAAGGCTTTGGCCAATAAAGAATTGAGGTTTGAGAAAAATATTTAAAGTGTTTTTAGGCTACGGTCAGAAAAAACAAACAGCGAACATATTCATTTTAACAACTGGAAAAGAGCAGAACTATTTAGTTCCTATTCTACCAGACACTTAGTGCCAGGAGATCAGACACTTTGTTTTGCTGAATACTGTATTGCAAGTACCTAGAACAGTGCTTGACACACAGTAGGCATTCAAAAAGTGTTTGCTGAATGAGGAAGATCTTCAAGTTAGAAAGTGCTTAGTCAATGCAAATAAAAAGAAATGAAAGGTCAAGATAGATGAGAAAATAGAAAGAAAGCACATGCATCCCAGAGCACTTTGAAGAACCATCATGTGAAACCACCATCAACCCTTTTTGAGGAACCACAGAGAATGAAAAAATTATTGGAGGACTAGGAATAGGCAATTATTGGGTCTGTTTTCAAAACACAAAAAAAGAAGCAGAGGAATTAAATGTTGAGTATCAGGAAAATTCTAGAAAAGGTTATTAAACAGCTGATTTGTGAGGCTTTAGCAAGTGAAGAGGTGACTACTAAGAACAATAATGGGTTCATGAAAATATGTCATGACAGGTACGCCTAAATTTCATTTTTGATAGGAATGATCTGCTAGAAACTAGCAGACTCATAAAGACTCAAATATACTGTTACTAAATGTAAGCAAGACATCTGCTATGATTATTCTTCTGCATAAGATGAAGAAATAGAGTTAATTGTGGTAATATACAGCTCATTGAACAATGATGTCTGAGGTTTACATTTATCTCAGTTAAACATTTTAATCAGTGCAATGATAGAAAAGGCAAGCTTACTGAAATGTTGATTCAAAGCTACGAAGAAAAGTGGATCTGGATTCAAAAAGGTCCTCACAAACTGGAAGAATGACTTGAAATTACAATAAGTATGTCTCACATTTACATTCAGAAAATCAAATGTGTGGACACTAGATGAGGAGTCCTAGCTTATGGACAACTGTATTTTCTTACATAGTTAATCTCATTTAATTCTCACAACTCTAAGTTTTGATTTTAATTTTAGAGAGGTGATATATAATGTAATGGTTAGGAGTATGGATTCTTAAGCCTTAATGCCTGGGTTAAATCACAACACCACCATTAACAAGCATGGGCAAGTCACACAACCTCTTTGTGCCTCTCAGTTTCCTCATCTAGAAAATGGGAATGATTACATTAACTACTGCATAGGGTTGTTATGAGGATTAAATGAGTTAATATATATGAAGTGCTTAAAACAGAGCCAACAGTGTTAGCTATTATAGATATTATTTTATAAATGAGGACCCAAGGCTTATAAAGGCTTTGTGTTAACTTACCCAGGGACATACAACTGGTTGAGTATTAGGGCTCTTTCCATTGAAAATAACCAAGTGGCATTCCTGGATGTCTTGTTTTAAAGGGACACTGACAAAACTATAGTCTAGGGCTTCCCTGGTGGCGCAGTAGTTGAGAGTCCGCCTGCCGATGCAGGGAACGCAGGTTCGTGCCCTGGTCCGGGAAGATCCCACATGCCGCGGAGTGGCTGGGCCCATGAGCCATGGCCGCTGAGCCTGCGTGTCCGGAGCCTGTGCTCCACAACGGGAGAGGCCGCAGCAGTGCGAGGCCCGGGTGCCACAAAAAAAACCAACCAACCAACCAAACAAAAAAAAACCCAAAAAACTATAGTGTATTTCATGGGCCATCTGCAGGAAGTGAGGGTCTACAAAATCAAGGCATTTAACTTATTTGGTGACCCTTAATGTTACAAGTTAAATATTTTAAATTATTAAAGAAAAACCTAACATTCAGCATCAATCAAAGAGAGAATTAGTCATTTCATGAGGTTACCTGTTCATAATGTCTAGAAGTTAAATGACCACCTGTCACAAACAAGGCCCCCTTACAACATACGCTGGATCCTATATTCACTGAACATGAACAAATTAACACTTTTGCTCAAGGTCTCCCAAATTAATAATCAGTGAAATAAAAAATTTCAGCAGTTTTTTAAAAATTTTATTTATTTTATTATTTTATTTTATTTATTTATTGTTTCTGGCTGTGTTGGGTCTTCGTTGCTATGCGCAGGCTTTTCTCTGGTTGCGGCGAGCAGGGGCTACTCTTCATTGCGGTGCACAGGCTTCTCATTGTGGTGGCTTCTCTTGTTGCGGAGCACGGGCTCTAGGTGCGCGGGCTTCAGTAGTTGTGGCACGCAGGCTCAGTAGTCGTGGCTCATGGGTTCTAGAGTGCAGGCTCAGTAGTTGTGGCACACAGGTTTAGCTGCTCCACGGCATGCGGGATCTTCCTGGACCAGGGATCGAACCCATGTCCCCTGCACCGGCAGGCGGATTCTCAACCACTGCACCACCAGGGAAGCCCCTTCAGCAGTATATATATATATATATATATTTTTTTTTTTTTGGCGGTACGCAGGCCTCTCACTGTTGCGGCCTCTCCCTTTGCGGAGCACAGGCTCCGGACGTGCAGGCTCAGCGGCCATGGCTCACAGGCCCAGCCACTCTGCGGCATGTGGGATCTTCCCGGACCAAGGCACGAACCTGCGTTCCCTGCATCGGCAGGCGGACTCTCAACCACTGCGCCACCAGGGAAGCCCCAGCAGTATTTTTAAACTTAATGTGGACAATGTAATGTTGCAATATCAGATATCCCTTCCACACATTTTCTAATCATTTGTGGTAAGTTTAAAAAAAAACAAAAAATCACACTTATATAATGTCACACTATACCTTTTTGTTGGCCTTGGCACTTTTGAAGATTTACCAGGTTTGCATTTTTCCTCTTCTCTTCTTCTTGCCAACTCCTCAGCAGAGAGATGCTTAAAAAAAAAAAAAATACCATTTGATCAAAGAGTCCATCAACCACTGAGAGGGAAAGTTAATAAAGAGACAAAACAGCATAAAGCTAAAGAGCACAGATTCGGCAGCACCCTGGCCAAGTTACTGAAGCTTTCTGTGTTTCAGTTTTCCTCATCTTTAAAATGAGAACAATAATAGTAATAATAACAATGTCATGATGTTATTGTGAAGATTAAATGAGTTAATGTTTCCAAAATATTGACAATAATGTCTGACACAGTAAGTCCTTTATAAATATAAAATAAAATAATTCTCTTTCATTTCATTTCTATTACCAATCTTATATTCCAGCCCTTATGAACTATGTACCTTTTCCAGAATATATCTAGTATTTTCCTATGTCTGTACCTTTGCTTATGCCTCTCCTTCAGCTTGGGGTTGCCTCATCCACATTTCCACATTTTGAGATTCTCCTGCTCATCCTTCAAGTCACAGATGAAAAATCACATCTTCTGTGAAACCTTCCCTGATCACACCCTTTGGGAGGACCTTATATTTCTTGGGACCAATCTCATGGAATTTACCATAGGTTTTACCTTTCCTACTAGAAATGTAAGTTCCTGGTAGGCAGGAACCATGTGTTACTAATTGTTTTGCCTAGAATAATGCTCAGATGTGAGGCTGGGTGCAGGGAATGGGGAAGAGAAAGAAGAGAACTAACATTTACTGAGTACCTGGTGTATGCAAAGGCTTACTGAGTACCGAGCATTAGGACCTTCATACATTTTATTTCACTTAATTCTCACAACAATCTTTGAGGGAGATGTTATTATCCACACTTCATAACTAAAGCCCTGAGATTCGGTACAGTTACCCAAGGTAACAAAGCCAGTAAGTACACATTCACATATTACTTCCATTTGACTGCACTGGTTGTTCACAAACAAATTATATATGCACAGAACACACGCGCACACATACACACATATACTCACTGCCTATGTTTCTTTTTAGGAGCATAATTTTTGTTAGTAGAAATAATACTTTAACATTTGTAATTCAATTTATGTCTAATGCATGGAACGATATTTTAATTGGTATATCAGAACATCATTCAATGACTTTACTGAAATGAATAGGGCACAACTCCCTGGCACCTTGGCAGATATTCTGGAGCTAGAGACCAGAATATAGAGACAGATAATCAAAGTTCTGAAAATTAGTCAAACTCCTAGTTAACTGTACCATCAGTGCCTTCTTTGTTGTTTACTGATGACTTCTAGACAAACAAATTAACATGGGAAAGAGACATATATATACACACACACACACATAAAACAAGGGTAATATATGTGACATTAAGATATACAAATGTATACTGACAAAACAACTTTCACTTTTGAGTCACCTGAAGGAATCAAAGTTACCTCAAACGTTTGTCCTTCTAAGTCTTTTGCATCACACCAATTTCCCCACGGGTCTCGGACCCTACGTCTCCTTGTGCGCTGTGATGAAATTAAAAATAAAGCAAAAGGTCACAAGATTAGCTTGGACAAATCACAGCACATTAATACACAAAACCAAAATGATAATTTTCTAAAATTCAATTTCTCCATTAAAATACTGTAATACCTGATCAGCAATGCCTGACTATATTTTATTAATTTACATTGAATAGTTAGCACTCTGCTCAGAAATAAATCAGTGATGATTTTCTAAATTTTATTTCAATTTCTCTTTAGTTTTCATTTCCTTTCACCATTTGGGAGTTACAACTCTAGGACAAGAATATTTTTTAGGACCAAAAAGAATCACCATGAAAATGACTTTGTGGTAGAAAACTTGCAAGAACACACAGCCAGAGGTATAATATTGAAAACTAGAAGCAAAATAATTATATCTCAGGCTTAGGAAAAGATTGCCTAGTTAATACAAATAGTAAAAAAGTATAAAGTTGGTTGACTGGATTAGTAATATCCAGTTTTGCAAACATCAGTACTGAAGCCTTTAAAATGGACTGGCTGCCAGAAGCCAGTGTATGACTAGCACCACCTCCAGCAACTGTATATGAAAACACCCTTTCTTAAAAAAATAAACTAGGTAGAAATGGTTTACAGCCTAAACACTGAGAAAAATACCTACTCTATCATCTATACTTTTTCCATTTATCTTACCTATTACCAATTTAACCTATTTTATCAGTAAAGTCAACAAGACCACAATATGACTCTGCCTTTTAGGAGACTTGTTGGATCACTTATTTTCAAAATAAGATGCATGCATTTTAAGATACTATAAAACTCACTAACGTCAAGAATTAAAAAATAAAGGCTAAAATATTTTGAATGGCACTTCTACAAAGCTAAATCTTACGGTAAGAATTTTCAGCAAACAAAAAACAAATGAAAGAGAAAAAAGAGCTAAACTGTACAGTTTTAAAAGATATATTTTTTAAAAAAAGATGTATTAGATACAGAAATCAAAACAAAGCAGTCTAAGACCACTTTAGCGAAACATCATGCTTCTGTGTGAAGTTTGTGTGTGAATTTTTAAATTTTGGGGGTTTGTTTTTTGCCTCATAAATCAACATGAAACTGAATGGAAACCAAAAAAGTGAATGGCTTGGGTGAAATAAAAGCGAAAACATGTTCTTCTACTAGATTGCCATTTGTTAAACAGGGGAAGAGAAGTAGGCATATCTTCCTTAACAGGTAAGGAGCAATCAGGAAAGATCATTTAGTGAGAGAAGGGACTGCTTACCATAGATTGCAGACGCTGGGCAAGTTGGTACGCTTCTACTGTGTCTTTTCTGTCTCTGATTCGTACTTTATCAACTGGTTGTGGCCTGTTATATACAGCCTGTTCTATTGGAATCCAGGAAAAACAAAACAATCTATTATTTTGTGGAACTCATTTGTTAAATAGGAAGGCACATCTATACTATTAATTATAAGCCAATATCTAAGTTTTTAAAAAAATATGAGCTTATTTCCACAATACACATTTGATGTGCTACTTGGTAGTTCTCACATAAAAGTATGCTGTTATTATAAGGAAATCGCAATAAAATGAAACATTTAGGAAATGGGTCATTTGTTTAATTTCTGATTAAATGAGTGCTAAGCCCACTTTGTTAACTTTGCAAGTCTAATACAGTAAACATGATTTCATTTTTCTTTTAGTGGCTAAGGAAGGTATGACACCTTAGTTTTCCTGTAAAGCCAGTCCTAACACCGTGCTTTGGGCAAACAAGGAGCTGAAATGGAGGACAGATCCCAGGGCAGACTATAAATTCTCTCTCTACATGAAATGAAATAATCTCTGACAGGAAGTTTTCTGGTTGTCTTTTCATAGACACAGAATACAGAATATACTCCTCTCAAACTATGGGTTACAAGCTTCTAATTAACTTATCACTTTGCAACTATAACTATTATCTTTCTTCAAAATTGTCATATTAATTCAATAAAAGGGAGGAATACATTTAAAAATATGCTTAAATTTGAGAAAAACTAGGGTGAAAGAAACTTTCTACCACGAAAAATATTTTGGCACTTTTATTACATTTAAGTGTAGAGGTTCATAAATTATTTTCTTTATTTAAACACTGCTAGACAGTATTTCTAGCATTAACACAGTATTTCCAAATCAAATGGGCTTTGATTGGACTTTTCATAAAATTACTTTTACTTGACAAAGAACTGCATCCTTAAATCATTTCTACCAGTTAGACTGAATATTCTTCCTTTAAAATCATACCACCAATTTTCAATGTAGGTTAAAAGGAAATATAGTTTATCAACAGAAATCTGTTTCAAAACAAAATCTCAATAATACATTTATTCTATAACGTTATAGCATCTTTCTGTATTCTATATCTATAATACGTCTAACTTGAATTCTAACTATCAAAGAAATTAATGGGTGCTATAAGGATAAAAAATGTCGAGTAAAAGATGTTGTTGGGTTTTTATTTTTACCACATCCAAAATTGATTGCTCCTATCAACTCGAGGTATGTATGAATCCGTCCAATACAATTAACATCCCCACAGTTCTTCAGGCCAGGACGTACTGAGGTCTTATTTAAGTATTTCGGTTTGCATATCTCCCTAAGAGATGGAAGTACAATTATTTTGGATAAATAAAAACATAAAAGAAGATTTCTGGGGGAAACTTTTAATATTTGAAATATTTTAAAAATGTACCCCCTCTCAATATGTAATGTGTACAGACAACGTAATACATAATAACCAAGTGTACTTTCTTTTCTGAAATAAAATATCTTTCAATGATACAGTAACTTACAAGTATAGTGTGAGTTTTACAAGTATCATTTCTTCCCCAATATTAAATTCAATAGATTTCAGTTATCCCAGGACTCTGAAGTTAGAGCGTTATTTATCTACAGATCCAAATGCAAGCCTGAATCTTTGAATAAAAAGGGTATATTCATAATATATTGAAAATATTTAGTATTAGACACTCTAATTTTTAATAAATTGCTTAGGTTCATTTACTTTTACTTTGCTGGACAACATCTTTTAATTACAAGCTACCCTGTAAATGCTTAAAAGTTTTATATTAGTTTTTAATCATTATGCTAGTAAATATTAAGTGCTCTCAGTGGAAAACAGAAACAGATACTACAGGGCATTATAAAGGAATCAAGAAACGCACAAAGACTATGAAAGAAATAAGAGGTTTCCATAACAAAACACGTATTTACTAAACATACTTAATGTACCATGTTAGATGGTACAACATAAAGTTTAAGTAACAGAGAACTTAATAACAGTAACAATTACTGAGTGCTTATAATAGATGCTGTACTAAGGGTTATATACAACTCTACAAAGCAGATTTTATCATTCTTATTTTAGAGGAAAGGAAACAAGTAGGTGAGAGGGATTAAAGCACTGACTTAAGAAACTGACAAGATTCAAACACAGACTTTATAAACCAAGTATTCAGATATATCATATAACATAGGTATTTCTTAATCTTTATTCTACAAATATTTATTTTGTGTCCTATACACCAGGCACTGTTCTAGGCACTAAGGATACAGAGATGAATCTGAAGTTCCTGAACTTACAGACCTTACATTCTAATAGTCAATAAATTGATGAATAATATATACTATGTTGTCAGGTAGCAATTATGTGCTAGGAAGACACAGTAAGAAGGATAAGGGGATAGAAATATGTACAGACTATTTTAGATAGGGTGTTTAGGGAAGGCCTAAGCAGAAACCAAATTGAAAATCATATATTCTATAGAATTTCAGGGAGGGTAAAAAGTAATCTGTGATGTGGGAGGGTATCAGAAGTTCCATTAAAAAGGTGAGATTTCAGTGTATCTTGAAAGAAAAGTAAACAAACTGTGCAAATGAAGGCAAGAAAGCTGGGATGGGCATGGTATACCCAGCTATCAAAAAACTATACGAATCTATAAACTGTATTGGTCTAATTAAAGATTATCCAAATTGAAAGGCTTTAAACAAAGAGCTTGGTACTAGTACAGCACTGAACAAATAGTAAGGCCTCTACAAATATCTGTTTATGATATAATGATGATTCACTCTTTCAATCTGCCTCTGTATTCCAAGCATTGTTCTAAGCACTAGGGACGTAACAATGAACAATGAACATGGAGCCTACATTATCATGGGGGGTTGGGGAGAGAGGAGACAACACACAAATAAAAATATAATATTTTCAGTGGTAATAAGTTCTATAAGATACATAAAATGCAGGGTTAGAGAATGAGAGGGAGGAGATATGTGAGTTACTATAGACACAGGGTGGTCAGAGAAAGCCTCTAATTTCCCTTGAGCAGAACTGAAAGAGAAGAGGAAGCAAGATTCACCAAGATCTGGCAGGGGGGAAAACATGCAAGGCAGCATGAAAAGTCAGTCAAGGCCCAGAGTTGAAAGTGTGAAAATAATGGGTCAAGACTGCAGTCTCTGGAATCACCTTCACCTAATGTGACCTGGAACAAGTTCCTTTTCCTCTCTGAACCTCATTTTGCTCATCTGTAAAATGAGGACAAGGCTGTCAAGAGGACTAGAGATGACTTAAATACAATGCATTGCGTTTGGTAAGTATTCAATAGTGATACTGATTACTATTCTAATAAAATATTCCCCTAAACAGGGAGTTAACTGCATGTGCTTTTATGGAAAGGATCTTTTAGCAACAAACAAATCTAGGACTTTTTTTATCTTTAAAACTTTAACTCTTCTATTTTTTTTAATACTGCCTCTAGTCTCTAAACACTCTCTTCTATTTCTGAAGAGAATAGGTTTGAGTTCCTGTTCAAAACATTCCTTTTTGCTTTCACACTGTTTGGCTAAATCATCATACTGAAACAGCAATATTTAACCGGTTTCATGAACTAAGGCAAATGACATTAGGAAACTAATGCCATATAATTTATGCTATCCATATAAATTATTCTGCCTCATAAATCCAAAATTCAAAGTAACAAATGAAATTTGATTACAGTAACATTAAGTAGTCACTGATAATTTATAGACACTTTTGAGTTAGTCATTATTTTGAAGCACTTTTATTTTGGCCATTCATGCTATTTCCAAAAAAAAAATTAGATACCAACAGAGATTTAATTTAATTTGTCTTTTTTAATAGTGTGAATTAGGCAATGTGGAATAATGGAAAGAGTGATTTACAGAGTTGAGACTTGCACTGAAGTCCTTCTTTTGTCAGCAGCTGGTCTGTATAATTCAAGGCGGCTCCCTAAATCTCTCCTGACCTCAAGATCATTCTATTAAATAGAGAAAATACCACCTGCCTATTTTACAAGATTGTTGTGAGGAATCAGATGACAGAGAAAAGCTTTCTGTAAACTATAAAACACTATGCAAATGTCAGGAGTGGTTCCTCATAGGTATTCTTTACTTTGATACCACCCTTACCTAGAATTTTCCTAACCTCAACCATTTGCAAGATAAACGAGAGTCAAGAACAAGAAAAAATTCTTTCTTTTAGAATAGGGCTATCTTTAGATTTCAAAATACTTAATATTGTGTGGGTAATCTTCCTAGGTTACAGCAGAAGCCCTCTGTAAAGATGGCTCTACACAATTCTGTAGCTCCTAAAGCAATAAAAATTATGCATGTTTGATGATGTCTTAATTAAACTATTATGAAAAATGCAAATCACTTTCAGAGCACTTAAGCTAATAAGGTGGGAAGTTTTTGGTTTGTTCCCCATCCCTGAGTAAATAATTCAAATAAAAGGCACTGAAAATTTAGAGTGTAAACTTAATATATCAAAAAATTCCTATATCCTGATGAAGGGATTATTAACACATTATGTCACAAGTTCAAAGTTGAAGGCATTTAAGGCAGCTATTTAGAATTGGTTTCTGAAATCTAGCCACATTTAATGATACTATCCTGTCACCAAGGTTTCCTCTCTTTGTACCTCAAAGTACATCATAAACTAAGACATTCTCCCCCTTTTCCCATGCAGTTAGTGTTTTCTATATCTTCCTAACATTGTCCTAAGAAACCGCTTCTTAAGGCAATCATCTATCCCTTTTCTTCTAGGACCACAGACTCTTAAAGAACAGACAGATGGGTTAAGGTAGCTATAGATGACAATATTTACCAAAACTTTCAAGACTTCATTATGAGAAATTGTAAGTTTTGCCTACTGAAATATATAATATGTTAAAGCTCTCTGGAACACTAGGAAGATAAAATACTAAATTCTGCATAGGCCTAAGTAAATACTCTAGAGTATCATAAGTTTTAAACCAGCACCAAAAATACAATTTTTCCTTACCACTGGTCCAAAATATAATTCCGAATTTTCAAATAGCGTTCTGGTGTTTTAGCTTGGCGTCCCTCAAAAAACTCAGGAATTGCTTGCTTTTCTTCCTCTTGAATGATATCTCTATCAATTTCTATTTCTTGTTCTGGTGGCTTAAGCTCTTCTTCCTCATGGCTCTCCTCCTCCATTTGGCAGGAAGAATGAAAAAGCAATTCATTATCACTCAAGTCTTTCTGAACTTCACAAGGCTCTGGAGAAGGTAACTGCCTGGCATCATCTATTATTCCATTTCCATCATGCTTATTACAGTTTTTCATCAGTTTATTACATTTCTGATCATATAATTCAACTGATTTTTGGTCACTGGTGTTGTGATTTTCAGTCCAAAATGTATTTCCTGAGCTTGAAAGTGTTTCCATCTCACCTTGCTTTATATTCTGAAGATACTCCTTGGAAGATTTAGAAATGGGATCTTCCTGGCTGTCAGAAGCAATGAATTCTCCTTTACTGGTTTCATGACTTTTATTTTTAGAGATATCTAATAAGAGATCACTGCTAAGATTCTTTTGGGGAGCTTGAGAAGTCAACTCATCTGCCTCATCTGTGATGTCTACTTCTTCATCATCAGATAACTTTTCAATTTTTACAGCATTCCAGTTGGGATCAGCACGACCCCTTAAACCTGATGGTGTCCATGCCTTTGTGCCTTCAGCTTCATTTTTCATCTGAAAACCACTGCTGTTTTTCTGATTTGCTGTTTCCTTCTCTGGACCATCTGATTTTACCTTATTAAAAATCAAGATAAAACCTCCATAATATTAGCATTTTAAGATGTAATCACTGGCACAAAAAAATAGGATAGATATAAAATTATTAAACTGAGTACACGTCAATGGTATATTATACCTTTACTGTTCTTTTCTTTGAAGGGTTTACAACTGCATTTTAAATGTAAAAGATCATCATTTCAAATTTCCATAAATATATTTGACTCATTCATGGTCTGGTGATTTTTATTAATCAAATAATCATGACCTACTATTCAATACTTAATTTTCAATATTAAGTTTAAAACAGGAATCTGGCTCAGATCAGCCATAAAGAATGAACCAACAACCGTCATACAAGGTATTCTCTAAGATATTTGTAAAGGCTTATTTCTCAGAATGTCTGATACCTCAGCTGATCATTTTTTATAATGCTAAAAAATCCTTTAGTTAAAGGAGTCTATCTCACATATCTTCACTTAGTAAATTAAAATCATCTTTTATTTAAATACAAAGACAACAGAAACAAACTGGTTTTTGCAGGTTCATTTAATGTAGCTCCAATATTATAGAACTTATAATTTAAGGCATGAAATTATCTATCATATCTGCTATTATAAACATAAATATCTTGTAATGCAATAAGGAAAAGAAAATAAATGTCAATGAGTATATATGATTTGAAATAAAACCTTTGTTACATATAGAGTTTTTGAAAAATCTTGTACGACTGATATACCCAAGGGATGACAGCTTCCAAAGAGAGATTATTTCTAGATCCTTTATCACAATAGACTCCCAGGATGTCATATTTGAGGTTAACTGGCTTACTATGTAGAGGAGAAGGAAAAGGTAGCAGGAGGGAAAAGGAGATTTGGACATTTAGCCTGAAATAGCCTTTAACAACCTTGCTATTTATTTGAAGTCTCCAGTTTTTAGCTTAAGAATTTAGATAAAATTTTGCATTATATTTCATTATATATTGTTTCTTTTAATATTAAAATGTACCCTTTCACCTCAAGCCTTTGAGTAAAACTGACACTACAAGATGCCCCGCACATTCTAGTCTGAGGAGCACGGGAGTAAGAATAACTAAATTAGGGGCTTCCCTGGTGGCAGTGGTTGAGAATCTGCCTGCCAATGCAGGGGACATGGGTTCGAGCCCTGGTCTGGGAGGATCCCACATGCCGCAGAGCAACTAGGCCCGTGAGCCACAACTACTGAGCATGTGCGTCTGGAGCCTGTGCTCCGCAACAAGAGGCCGCGACAGTGAGAGGCCTGCGCACCGCGATGAAGAGTGGCCCCCGCTCGCCGCAACTGGAGAAAGCCCTCGCACAGAAACGAAGACCCAACACAGCCAAAAATAAATAAATAAATTTATTAAAAAAATAAAAAAAAGAATAACTAAATTAGGCTTATTCTGTTCCATAATACCTTAACCTTAGCAGGCTGTCTTGAAAATACTTTTGCTGATTAAAAGAGGTGGTAGATGACTGATTTACAATGAATCCATTCCATTACTTACTTCCTATGCCCAAATGACACTAAGTTAGATAAATCTTGTATACAGGGTAAACCCCATTACAGCTGACCCTTGAACAACAAGGGGGTTAGGGGTGCCAACTGTCCACACAGTTGAAAATCTGCATATAACTTATAGTTGGCCCTCCGTATACGCGGTTCCTCACCATCTCCAGTTCTTCCACATCTGCAATTCCGCACCAGCAGATTGTGCAGTGCTATAGTATTTACTATTGAAAAAAATCCATATAGAAGTGGACCTGCTCAGTTCAAATCCTATTTACATTAAAAGAAAATGTAGGGCTTCCCTGGTGGCGCAGTGGTTGAGAGTCCGCCTGCCGATGCAGGGGACACGGGTTCGTGCCCCGGTCCGGGAAGATCCCACATGCCGCGGAGCGGCTGGGCCTGTGAGCCACGGCCGCTGAGCCTGCGCGTCCGGAGCCTGTGCTCCACAACGGGAGAGGCCACAGCAGTGAGAGGCCCGCGTACCGCAAAAAAAAAAAAAAAAAAAAAAGTAAACAGAGTCAACCTTATCTATTTACATTAAAAGAAAACACCAAATTTCACTTAAGGGCCAACCCTATTTACATTAAAACACCAAATTTCACTTAAGATACTTTCAAATTCTATATAATTATGTTTCGAGAACTCAAGCAGAACATATTAGAAAAATTCTAAGTATCAAAACTACATGGTTGAATATAGCACAAATTACTTGAAAGACTAAGGAACTAGACCGTAACTGTACATTTCTGAACACTGCAATTTATTAAAGTTTTCAGACAATTCTTCATAATAATTGTACAAGTTTCATTGCTATTAAAAAGATTTTAGAATCATGTTAGCATTTTTGGCCCCTAAGTTCTAATCATTCTTAAAAGTTTAATGCAAATATTTGAAAAGAAATTTAAATTTCCAGGAAACAATGACTTCTAAGGTTTTCTCTTTGGAATATTATTTGCTTTATAGGATTTTTTGAGCAATTAATATTTTGTCTTATTTAACTGCATGAAATTAAGTGGAGTAAAATAATAATGCTTATTTAATAGTAATACTCAATACATTGAATATATGTTTTGAGATTTCTGAAGACAAACATTTATAGCGTACTTTATGGGTATAAGTACTTTCACTATAAAAACTTTGAACATTAAGACTTTAATGCTTGAATTAAAGAAGTATTTCTGCTTATTAATTTTATTTATTTAAAATATTATCACTAGGGTATTTATATTCTGCTTACCTTATTTTTAAAGTACTGTCTGGCATAACTCTTCACTTGTAAAACACTGCGGCTTCCAACTAGCTTTGCAATTTTGGTCCACCTTCGGCCAAATTTAGCCTATGTTATCAAAATGGAAAAGAAATAGCTTTTGATTAGCTCACTTAATATTCCAAACTACTGCCATATTAAAAAAAAAACTCTATCTTTATTTATTTTCTAAAGCACACAATGAAGCCTCACATACAATACATAGTTAAGACTCCTAAAATCAAAGCCCACATTCTTTTCAAATCTTGACATCTGAAAACAGACCAAAATGATTTAGAAATTTGTTTTCTTTTTATAGATACCTAAATGAAGACCCATCACTTCTACGTATTCCTAACATTATGTATTAGTAGTGTACATTATGATGTTCCAAATTTAAGATAACTTAAAAAAAAGTGCCTAAAAGGGAGGCAGGTTATATTTTCCAATTGTAGAATCAACTGAATATGTTCTGACACTAATTTCAAAATATTTTTTTTTTTACCCAGATTCCATCTGTTACAGTGACTATTACATGTTCCATAGCAGATACTTTTACACTATACAGATATCACAGTAAACTGACTTACAAGAGTGAATCACAAATGAAGCGACCTGCAACCAACATCTCCCTACACCCCTCCACTGTCAAAGGCTGTATACCTACTTATACTGAAGCTGTGCAGGGAAAAACTGAGAACTTGAGGGAGCTCTGGTGTGTTCTGCAGTACAGACAGGAACGCATTATAATTTTAAAGCGAGACAGGATTTTTAGGTATCAAGCCTATCATTTGATACATAAATCTCCTTTACATTATCTCCAACACAAGATATTCTCTACTTCTCAAAGTAGCTCAACAATCCTTTCTTAGAATTCTTAAAACTATTTAAAGAAAAAAAAAACAACCCACAACAATTCAGAGAAGCTGATTCCAGGGCCAGATTTACAGGTCAGACAGTCATGACTTATGGCAATAAATCATCTTCAAAGTTCTTTCTGACCTAAATGATAAACCTTAATTTATACACTTATTTCTGGTATTCATTAGAAAATCTGACATATGGACAATTTCTTAAAACTGAAAGTACTTCTGAGAAAATGATTACTAAAGATTGTTCTTAACTAATACCTAACTGAGGTCAACTTACTGAAGATTTAGTTATCTGTATTGTGTGATGAAGGCAAATAGGTAACTTGGTAGCATGGATCACTTTTGGAAACAGGAAGGATTTGGATAAAGTTTGACTAGTTAGGATTGCAGGGGCTTGGACACTGTGAAAATTGGAGAGGGGACACGAACAAGAGGAGCAAAGAAAACATTTACCAATTTAAAAAGAGAGCAAAGGGACAAGACAGAGAAGGAAAAATCTTTCATCATTCAGTACCACATAATTTCCTTCTCTCAAGCCTGACAGAATTCAGTCTATAAACAAATGATACTAATAGGTTAAAAAGCTGGGAATACAACCAATGGTTCCATGTATTTTTGTGGGAAAATATTCTAGGTTTAAAATATCTATGTGTATATATAGATAGGTAGATAAAGATATAGATATCTACATATGTACCTAAATAAGTAGACACTTGCTTTTACAGGGACAAAGTATCTCTGGAAGGCTATACAAGAACAGATGACAATGGTTACCTGAGGCAAAGAGAACTAAAGGTTGAGACAGGAGTCAGAGGGAGACTTAACACCCTACAACTTTATGTACCATTTGAATTTTGAACCATGCAGATACAGCCTTTATAACTACCACCAAAGTCAACAATAACCTAAAAATTCACAACCCGTGTGTGTGTATGGGTGTGTGTGTGTGTTCTGATCTTTGGTAATGAACAAAACACCAAAGTTGTCAGCAATCTTAAATAAATGACTAGTTAATTAGATTATATAAATGATAATCATGCAACAGACTAAAATACCAATATAAAAAACATCAACAGTACAGGAGAAAAATCTCAGGAGATAAAACCCTCAAAATAGTTTATGTATTTATATAAAACATCACAGAACATAGATGTCATGGTGATGTTAACTATAAAAATACAAACACATTTTATTTCCTGTCATCTGCAGAAATATTAACAATGATGTTTCAATTTGCATTCATGAATCCTACATAATATTACATAAATATTCTATATATGTAATATATAAATATATATAATTTCAAAATTAATTAGTACAATACTGGGTAACATGTAAGAGAAAGATAAAATCTACTATTGACAGTTAAAAAAAATTCCTGCATGTTTTGTTAAGCTTCATTATATTACGGAGTTTTCTCATAATCAGAAACTTATGCACATATTTTTTTCCATTATGCAACTTGTGGACGTTTAAATAGATCTCAGTGAAACATTCATGCAAAAATAATGTTTCTGGTCTTTAATTACATCCACTAAAATATTTAGACTGTGTGCACAATGCCAAATATCTGAATTAAAAAAAAAACTCAGCTGATCACCCAGACGGTTCCAAATATACATGTTTTTTCCCTAGAGAAAAGATCAGGTAACCAAATAATTTTGCCTTTTAATCCAGGTAGTTGGTGTCATGTATGCAGATATAGTACAATTTCTTGGATTTTATTAATACAAAGAAGGGGTGAAAATCAATATTGATCCAAATCTATTTTAATATTTTATTTACTTAGGTATGAGTTAAAAGGAATTCACTTATATTATACTACAAACATCACTCTAACTACAGAAAAACTATAGATATGATCACTGTAATTAGAAAGAAATTTCCAGTCTCTATAAATTAATTTAACCTTATAATTCTATCAATATTTGCTTCTAGAATTATTTTACTATAAATTAAAAATTGCTCTATTTACCAGCCCTTGTTCAAACAGCTCTTTTTCTTCTACCGTCCACTTTACTGAGTAACTGGCTGGTTTTGTAGGAGAGTGTACCCTGAGGGGAAAAAGAGGAGTTGCAAAAAAAATTTCTGAAATGGAACATTCCATATTTATGCAGCTAAAGGTTATACACAGCCATGGGCTAAATTTAATACTTTGAGTCTAAGAATTAAAAAGAGAAGAAGAAGGCTGCAGTCTCTACCTGGGGGAACAGATTTGCCCTGTCTTGTATACTTCTCTAGCTCAGGATGATAGGAGCCCCCAAAAACATAATCCTTGGGTCTGAGTGAAGATAATACTAAAAGACATCAAAGGAAGTCAATGTGATAACAAGTAGGCTTCCTCAGACTGGACACAAAGCAGCAGATGTTAATATATTTCCAAATCCAGAGTTTAAATTGGCTTGTCAACTGGCATGTCAGAGTTTAAATTGGCTCCAGAAATATCATCTCTCTTATTCTTCTATGTAAATCTATGTAAATATCAAGCCAGAAAACAGGTAAAAATACTATGACATTACATTTATTGCTTTTGAAATGCAGGACATTAAGAAATTAAAAAGTGATGAAACTCACTAATTTAATTCAAGCAAACCATTAATCTTTTCATTGACTTTATTTGGTTTCTGTTGTTTGTTCAGCAAAATGCAAAAGCCTAAGTCTGCTCAGGGCTCAAACTGCTGGTAATTGGAAATCTACCCTCTAAGGGATTATAAACATGAAAGTTTAGAAACACTAAATAACATCAAACTTTCTTCAATTGTAGGGAAAGGATGTTTATAAAACAGTTAATACTTAATTTCTCTAGATAATTTTTGAAAGCCACAAATTCAATTTAAATTTTTGTTTGAAACGACTGAAAACTAACTGACAGGGCAACAGGAATCAAGTCAATTCCTAACATATTAAAGGGCAGCTTTATAAAAACGTTCCCCACAAATCCCTAGGAAACCACCTTTTTGTAGGGCCCTAAAAAAATTCCGACAAATAAATAACAATAATAAAATTATCTTGTGACATTCCAACATCTGTACAAGAAATTTTGACTTTATATTTTTGTATAACCCAAGGTCAAGAGGGCTTTTCCACAGGCCAGCTATAACTTTTTGCTTAATTTTTCCATAACTTTTAACTAATCAAAAAGATTTTAAAATATAAAACATAAGTACATACATGATTTTTGCTGGTTTCTGCAGACTGCACCACATGAAAAAAGAAAATAAGGAAGCTTGTGAAGAAGTTTTTAAAAATACAATTCAGACTTTTAAAAGTATTATAAATTGATTTTACCTCTTCATGTATTTTTTATCATCTTCCTTTTGATCAAGCCAGAATTTTCCTGGAAGTGACTTTTTGGATAAATAATACCTGTGTAATTATTAAGGAACTTTTAAAAAAATAATAAAGTCCTATAATTTTTATGCAACTTAAAGCAGGCACTCACATACTTGTGAAAGTCACACTTGAATTCTAGCTAAACCAGGTCTGCAAAAATTATGACAAAAATGTTTATACCTCACAGGGTTGTTATATGGATTAAATATTACATGTGAAGTCACACATGACACAGTACCTGCACAAAATGTGTGCTACATAAAAGTTAGTTTCTCTTCCTTATTTAGTGGCTAAGAGAAGATATATCCTCAATGTTTTATTTAAATCTTTTTTCCTAAAACACATGGAGAATGTAACAGATGAATCTGATTGGTCGTCCAGGGTAATTTAGGAGTATTTGCTTTCATATTTCTGAAAGTAACAGAGAAGAGTTTAGGGTTGCTCTCTATCCTAATAAAAATAACAAACGCTTGGGTCAAATTTACCAGAGTCTCCCTCTCAGACTTTTTAAACCTAGCCTATACTGCAATACTTTAGATTAGTCTGAGATATTCTTCACTTAACAAATATTGTATTTTGTGTACATGTATTGTGTACACGAGGCACTATGCTAGGTACTAGGTGCTGAGGACAAAGAGAGAAAACATTAACCCTGTCCTCCAAGAGCTCACATAGCTTTTATTCTCATTATTTTGTTTCCAAATCTGGAAATGAACCAGTGACTACTTAAATATTCATTAATCTAGAATGGCACTGTTCAACGTATTAGCCAATAGCCACATGTGTAGCTACTGAGTACGTGAAATGTGGTTAGTACAAACTGAGATGTACTGTAAGTATAAAATACACGCTGGATTTCAGAGAGTATAAAACAAAGAATGCAAAACATCTCCATAATGTTTATATAGTGATTAAACGTTGAAACAATATTTCAAATATACTGGGTTAAATAAAATGTTATTACAATTATGTGGCTACTAGAAATTGTAAATGATGTGACTTGCACTATTTTTCTACTGAAAAGCAATGATCTGGGCTATAACTGTAATGTTTGGGGAGTTAGAGAGTAAGAAAGCCTAGAAAGGGCTAACCCATGATAATTAAAGGTACAAAGACACCCCGAAAACAATGTAGCAATAACTGGTAATAAAAAGAATAGATATTCTGGCTTAAAGAGGAGATAAAAATCCATGAAACACAGGTGAGTTGAAAATAAACCACTCACTACTTATTAGAGTAGTATTAGTAACCTTTATAAATCAGAAATCTTTTTGTTCAATCCTTTCATTTTACATATAAAAAAATGGAGTCCTAAAAAAGTTAAGTTGCAAACATCACAAATAGATGAAAGAAATAAGGACAAGAAGCCAGTGGCTGAACTGTGAATGAGGACCTACAACCTCTGGTGGAAAAAATCTTCATTCTATAGTTTTATGCTTTTTACTTCGATTGCTCCCATTAACACCTGTAAATCGGTAGAGTAAGAAGTGAGAACTTTTACATATTTTAATTCTATGTCCTTGGACAAATTAACGTCTCATATAACTGAAAATGGAGGTTTAGACTGAATGATTTGGACTTCGACTAAAGATTCTAGCTGATTTAAAACACTCTACAGGGAATTCCCTGGCGGTCCAGGGGTTAGGACTCCATGCTTCCGCTGCAGGGGGCACAGGTTCGATCCCTGGTCAGGGAACTAAGATCCCACATGCTGCGTGGCGTGGCCAAAAAACGTTAAAACATGAAACACTCTATAATTTCTACTCAATATTAAGATAGTATAAAGAGTTGGTTGACAACAGAAACTCAAAAATATTGAGTCAGATCTCAGACTTAGTGGTAAAACAGAATAGGCAGGTAACACATTATATACTAGCAGTTATATACTATCTAGTAACTAACAGTGGTCTCTTCTGTAAGTTTTGTATTTATGGATTTTTAACCCTGAAATCTTTACTTTCCTCATAATCATTAAAGGATACTCTTCTTCCAACAACATTTTCTCAATGACAGCTCTGTTCTCTTCACTGATGGTGCTATCCAGAGTCCAAGGCTATTAAAAAAAGGAAGAATAAATTTCTTTATTTACTGCTTTTTGAAATTATCTTGTTTTCTTAAATAAAAATACACAATACAATGATTACAAATAATAAAGCTACCATTTACTGAGCACACAGACATATCTTTGATTCCCACAATAATGCTATGAGATAGGCATTACTTCTTCACAGATGCATCCATAAAGGCATTCACTGACATTTCAAGCAGGAGAGAAGAGACTTGAGCCTTGGATTCCAAGGCTCAGGCTCCTGCCCATGATAAAGTAATAATGGCTATCCTGTATGAGGAACTTTTAGGTATTAGGCATTTTGCTAGATACTTCACCTATTCCCAAAACTCACCACAATTCTTTTTTTCCCTTAAGCCACAATCTCTCCTTAAATAATCATACTCTTTTTTAACTCTCAAAACTTAAAAATTTTCAGCCCAGGTCTCTTCTCCAAGCTCTATTTAGACTGTTATAACTAACTGCTCACTCAAAATTTCCACTTGGATTTCTAATAGGCTTCTTTTTAAAAAAAATAAATTGATTTAATTTTTTTATTTTTGGCTGTGTTGGGTCTTCATTGCGGTGTGTGGGCTTCTCACTGCAGTGGTTTCTCTTGTTGCAGAACACAGGCTCTAGGCGCATGGGCTTCAGTGATTGTGGCATGTGGGCTCAGCAGTTGTGGCTCGTGGGCTCTAGAGCGCAGGCTCAGTAGTTTTGCTGCATGGGCTTAGTTGCTCCGCAGCATGTGGGATCTTCCCAGACCGGGGCTCGAACCCGTGTCCCCTGCATTGGCAGGCGGATTCTTAACCACTGTGCCACCAGGGAAGCCCCTCTAATAGGCTTCTTAAACTTAACATATTCAAAATAAAACTCACCATAACATACATTCACCTGCTTCTCCCCCTGCCTTCCCAATTTTGTAAACAGTACTACTAGTCACCAAGCTATTCCAGCTAGAAACCCAGGAATCATCCTGGATTCTTTCCTTTTTCCTCAATCCCCACACCCAATTTACCAAGCAGTTCTACCTCCAAAACATAATTCAAATCTGTCAACTTCTACCACAACCTTAGGCCAAGCCACCACCAAATCGTGCTTAGATTCCTACAAATGTTTCCTGACTAGTCTCTTTGATTCCCCTCATTTGCCTTTCCAACCTTGTCACAGCTGTCATCCCCTCCCCTTTCCCACTATATTCTAGACACTGGGTTTCAACCAGAGCCTTTGTGCTGCTAGTCTTTCTGCCTAGAATATTTTTCATCAATTCTTCACATATCTATTGTTTTCAACTTAAATGTCACCTCCTCAGTTTCCCTCACCAACTTTATCTAAAGTAGATTCCCCACCTTGTAACTCTCAGTCAGCATCTTGCTTATGTCCGTCACGATCTATAATTAGTCTACTTGTTTACCACCTGACTCCCCTTTATAATATAAGCTCCTTGAGAGCAGGACCATGTCTGTCTTGATTACAGGTGTATCCCCCAAACTTGGCCTAGTGTCTGGCACATAGTAAGTACTTGATAAATAACTGTTAAATGAAGAAACGAAGCATGCAATGATCCCGATTTTTTAGATGAAGAAACTAAGGTTCACAAATCTGATAAGTGGTAGAGCAATGACTCATACCTAAATCTAACTGGCTCCTAAGTTGATTCCTAAAAGGCCATTTTTTCAAAGTCAAAAGAAGAAAGAATAAATTCCTTCTATTTTTAAGTTAAGAGAAAGGTTTCAATATATTACCTCTGTGACTGCTGAGAACTAGCACCAAGTTTAAAAAAAAAAAAAAAAAGAGGTACTCTGGGTACTGAGTAATGGCTTAATGCACCTGATATTCCCATAAAATACTTACAATAAGACCATTCTCAGTTCTCCACGATGAGTCAAGATAGTGGTCTTGTAAAACAGATGCTGTATTTTCATCACTTCTGTAATAATTAAGAAAATGGGTATGAAAGTGAGATTATACCAGTTAATGAACATAATTTACAGAGCACAGTGACTGGAAGGTTTCAGATGTTAAGCAAATATTTAGTTCCTTTCCCCCCTTAACAGATTTAACATTGCAGATGCCTGCTCTACCTTTGGCCTGTGAAATATATAGTGGCTTTAAGCCACCCTATTTCAATTGCTAAATATCAGACTTCTCCTTCTGCCAATAAACAACTTCATGAGGGAAAAAATACCTCCAAACAGCAACTACAACATATTCTGTGGCTATGAACCAACGCTACAGATTTCTTTTGATGAATATGCATGTGTATACAGGAATTCAACTTTACAATTAATTCTTTTAGTTATATCTGAAGCATAGAAGCCACCCATCAACAGTACCACCCTCAAAATGAAGAAAAAGCCAGAACAGATAGAAGAACCAAAAGAAAATACTCAAAGGAGGACAGTACAGTGAAGAGATAAGAAATGTGATGCTTTAGTAACAACTCACATAAAAAAAAATTAACTTGGGTTACTTGGGGGCTTTTCTATGTTCATGGGGGATTAAACTTTAATTCTCACTCTTTTCACTAATTAGAAGTTTCTAAAGTCACCCTGTTCACTTCATATGGAAAAAGCCTGAATAGTTAAGTTTGAGGAGGCCCAATCTGTGATATAATTAAATTTAATATTTGCTTCTGTACGTTTTGAGGTTGTAAAGCTTCCTAGTTACTGACTTTTCTCAGTCTAATGTAAAGAATTTGTACCTCTTAGACTGCAAAAACCTATCTACAGGTTTCTCTCCATCTGGCATATATATAAGGTTTATTGTCTGTCTCATCCAATAAGAATGTTAGCTCCATGAGAGCAAGTACTTAGTTTGGATGACTGCTATATACCCAGGGCTTGGCATATAAAAGATAATCAATATTCGCTGAATGACTGAATGAACAAGATAGGTGGGGCATGGATCACACAGGTCTCTAGGAGTTAAGGAATAAAGATTTTATCATAAAGCTAATTGAGGACTGAAGGGAATAACATGATACGGTCTGGATGTAAGAAAAGACTGCTCTAACTTCAGAAAAGACTAGAAGGGGGTCAAAGAGACGAGAAGTGGTTAAGACGGAGTGATTATATAGATACTAGAGAGAGGTGACAGTAATTCAGACCTAAAGAACAAACAGTGTGAACAGGAAGTGATCACATTTGAGTGGATACTCAGAACAACAGACTCTGATAGAAGGAGAGAGGTAAGGAAAAGGGATAAAATCTAGGTCTGTGCCTTGCATGACTAGGTGGATGGTGCCACTCATTGAACTGGGGAGCTTGGAGAGGCAGGCTGGGTAAGGAAAGTTTCTATAAAGTGAAGCTGAGGTGCTTGTGGAAAGCCCAAGGGCAAACAGATTCAGAGAATTGGATAAATGGATGTGAAGCTCAGGAAAGAGATTTGGGAAACATCAGCATGTATTGGGTGGAACTTAAGAAACTGTTGTTTCTGTAAGTCAAAAATGGTGGAATGTTGGGAAAATTTCATATGGTCCAACTTAACAGAAATTTAAGTCTTGAGAGATGGGACTGTGTGGTTAGTGAGAAGTCTTACGACAAAAATCCCTTGGAACATTATGATTTAAAGAATAAGCAGAAGAAATGCAGGATGACAAAGAAGGGAAACCAAAACATTTCAACGCCATCTTCTAACTTTGGTAACCAGCACTTAGCAAGGACTTAAAAGTGTTTTCACTTAATCCTCAAGGGTTCCACAGATGTTATAATCAGCTGTAACTACACAATTCAGAGGGGCAACTAAGTGTTCACTCACACCAAATGCCATATGATCAGAGCCCCCAACACCAAGGAGCAACTTTCACCAGAATATAATGTTAATGATGCTCTGTGGAATTGTGTAAGGCAATGGCTCTGACCATCAGAAACCAGTAATCTGTTATTGGTTGCCTGAGACTAATATGATTACAGGTGCCACCAGCCGACCTAAGGCTCAGCAGAATAATGAGAAAGGAAAGAAAAAGGAAAAAGAGAAATAAAACACAATCAGAAAAATAAAGAAGAACCCATGGAAAGGGGTAAAGCCAATGCTCTCAGATGATCTTTAGTGTTTCCAAGGCCAGCTCATTTCTCTCTGGACTGCAGATAAGAATCCCTCCCATTTATTTCACAGACTTATTGTGAAAAGTAAATCAAATCATGCATGTAACAGCACTTGATCAAGATTAACTTGATCTACACAAATGTGAACAATGATTGTTATTAAAGGCTTCCTATTCGTTTGTACAGACTCGGACTGCTTCGCCTGAAGATTTGAGAGAGAATGACTAAATGAACTTTAAACCCACTATCTTGGTGCCTCATGAGCAGGGTTAGTACTCTTCTCTACAATTTACAGAGGCGCTATTATCAGGTTGGACCATGTGAAATTGCTACTTTATAGGTCAAAAATGGTCTAAGGTTGGCAGTTTTACATGGTTCAACCTAGAGACTTCTAATGAAGTTGTTCATAGTTACAAGCAACATAGATGGCTGAGTTTAGAATTGGGGTCTTCTGATTCCTGACCAGTCTAGGCCTCTTCCATTACTAAAAGAAGATTCTGAAAGCACATTTTTAAAATGGCATGTATCAACTTCTCTCTCTGCAAGCGAGGAGTCAAACAGCTAGATGTCTCAAGCTGGAGGATGCTGTTTAAAATCACACTGGCCTGCTCTGCAGGAATTGGTAAATAAATTATGACCCCCTCACCGGGTCCTCAAAATACTATCCCTGGTGGGATGGTAAAGAACACAACATTTACAGAGCACCTACCTTATGCTAGAGCACATCCCATAATTATTTCATTTTATCTTCACAATAACCGTATAAGGTACATAACATGATTGTCAGCTAACACATGAGCTGAGGCCCAAGGTCACACTGCTAGTAACTGGCAGGGTCAACCCAGAGCTGTCCAACTCTAAAGTCCAGCCCCTTTCCTTCAAGTCACGCTGCTTCTCGGGAAGTTTTTCATAACTATTCCTACATGGAAAAGGTAACCGGTGGCCGGTAAGGATAAAACGACACGCCCAAGGTCACACGGCCTGCAAGCGATGGAACAAGACTCCTAAGCTCGGGTACTGTCCAGGGGCCGCCCTTGTTCTAGTTATTGTTGGGCGGTGGCAGTAATGGAAGAAGGAATCTAATTGCTGAAGAGTGGACAACGCGCTAGGCGCGGCCGGCGCCCTCACGGCATGCCGGTAAAAGGTTAAAGGGCCGTCGGTCACTAGCCTCCGGTACCCGCACCCTGGGCTCAGGAGGAGCCCGCAAGCGGGATAGGCGAGGCGTCTCCCTGGCCGCTAAGAGACCCTGGCCCAGCGGATGGTCTTCCGCTCCCCTGGCCCCTGCCGGAACCGCGGCCTTTCTAGGATACCCTCCTCACATCTGCGCCCCTCCTCGTCTCTGCAAGACCCAGTCTCTACGCCTCACCCAGACTGTGCCGCCGCTGGCACCACGTCCCCTTCGATATCCACATCCGCCTCTTCAGCCGCCATGATGGAACCTGACCCCGGCCGTCTTCTCGAGAGATCCCGCGAGAGGTGGAGGGACTGAAGGCGGGGTCCTATGCGTCACGGGGCGGAGTCGAAGCCTCGGCCAGCCCTTCCCATGCTCAGCGGGGCTTTCAGTGAAGTGGGGCTTTCAGTGAAAAAGATGCTGCGGAACCGTGTGGCTTGGTCCTTTTGACTTTTGTTGACTTGTAAAGACCTTGGCAAGTAACCCAGGCTTGGGTTTTGAAGAGACCGTGCTCTTGCATAAATTCTTTGGCGCCTCACTTCTCTAATTTGTAAAACGGGGATAATAGTAAATATCTAGTGTGCTGAAAAGATCAAGTCAGACCTACTTTGAACTGTGAAGGTGGCAACAGTGACCCTTACCTGCTGGTTTTCTTTCTTTCTTTCTTTCCTTCTTCTTTCCTTCCTTCCTTCCTTCCTTCCTTTCTTTCTTTCTTTCCTTCTTCCTTCCTTCCTTTCCTTTTTTTTCTTTTAAGAGAAGGATTATTCAGCACTTACTGAAGTGTTGAACAACATCTGTTTTAAAATTCAAAAGAACATTTAAGAATGTAACTTACGATTGCATATTTTATTTCATAGAAATCTTTACAATTAATTTAAAAATCACTCTCATGACCATTGATCTTCACAATAACCCACTGAGGTAAGCAGGACTAGTGTCCGTCACACATCACAGATGAGGAAACTGAGGCTCAGAAAGCTGAACTGACTAACATAAAGGATAGACAGCTAGTCAAAGACAGAACTGGGACCAGAATCTAGGCCTTTTGACTCTTTATGAGTACTCACCCTCTACAGATCATGTTGTTAGGAACTATGAAAGACAAACACCATTTCTCTCAGAGAATTTATGGCTCCTCAAGAAATTAGATATTGGCCTATGTATTCTTCTACCTTACCATCTATCACTCACATTATTGTAGCTGTTCATTCACTTGCTTCCACCGTTGGATGGTGAATTCATTAAGGACAAAGACTGTATCTGCTAGTCTTTGCACTAGTCCATATACTACCAACATTCAACATGGTGTCTGACACACATAAGGTGTGCAATAAATATTGAACTGATGAATGAACCAATCAGCTAATGGAATGAGTTCACTTCCTGCACTGTTGTGAGTTTGTCCCATCTCACCTTTGTGCTCAAGCCATAAGATGAGCTGTACTATGAATGTGATGGCAGAAGATGGAGAGAAAGTTTTGTAAAGAGGGAGATCCAGTGCTCAGAAACTGAATAATGCTCCATCCTTAGGTCACCCTGAGGGTGCTTTTCCTGTTGCCAAAGGGCTTTTCCAATGACCAGTCCCAGTGGTAACTGGCATGCCTGTAACAGAGTAGGCATTCTAAGATATTTGTTGGATGTAATTTACAGCAAGTTTAGATAGATGGATATAACCAGATAGTCAAAAGAAGATAGATGCTTTTCATTGATCTTTACATAGCAGGCAAGATGGGAAGCCTGGTAGTACTGTTTGGATACACATGATATCAAATGCCTTCTAGACCATGACACAGAATACTGTGTGAAGAGCATCTCCTGCAACACAGAACTGAAGGCTTCCTGGCCCAGTGCCAGCCATCAGTAGGCATTAAAATACATGTGGAAGGAAGGAAAGGAAGTCCTGCACAGAATTCAGATATGCCCCAAGGCCTTTGATATAAAGGCCTCCCTAAACAGAAGGACTAGTCTGAAGCCTCTCCATACATACCCCACACTATGCTCTTGGTTTGCTGGCTTTATGTGAAACAGGCTCCATAAGGGTCTAGCCCAACCCCACCTGCAAGGATACAGCTATAACCCCACAGTCGGGTGGACTCCTGACGCCTGGTCTACTATTTATAATTCCTTGTTCTAGAGGTCTGCAACTCTGTGACTTGTTTGAAGACCTATTTTCTCACCCATTTTCTGAAGAATTCAGAGTTCAGAATTCACAAATATTTGTATTCCTACTGTACTCGGTACTAGGGAAATGACATTGAACGAGATGCACTCAGTCTCTGCTCTCATAAAATCTATCAAACATGCAATTTCAGGATGATGTAATAAGTTCTATGATGGAGGAGTTACAGGCTGCTGTGGGATCACGGGGTGTGGTGGGCACTTATCCCAGAATAAATACTCTCCTATACCACATTTTTGAGGATGATATTCATCAGTTAAAATTTGAGAGTAATGCTCTAGACTCTGGGGACTATGAAATAGAAGACGCTGTCCCTAACTTGGAGAAAAAACCAATGGAAAAAGATTAGAAGAAATAGTGTCTGATCCTCACACAGAGCTTAAAGACAAGATCTGAAGGGCTCAAACTGTTTCCAGGTAAACTTAACTACATTTCCCCTCCCTCACCAAAAAACTCAAAAGTACTTATAAGAATACAAAAATAGGTAAGCCAGACAGAGAAAGAAAAATATTGTATGATATTGCTTATATTTAGAATCTAAAAAAAAGAAGAAAAAGTTACAAACTTATTTACAAAACAGAAAAAGACTCAAAGACCTAGAAAACAAACTTATGGCTACCAAAGGAGAAAGGGTGGTGGGAGGGATAAATCAGGAGTTTGGGATTAACATATACACACTACTATATATCAAATAGATAACCAACAAAGATCTACTGTATAGCACAGGGAACTATACTCAATATTTTGTACTAACCTGTAAGGGAAAAGAATCTGAAAAAGATTATATATACATATGTATAAGTATATGTATATGTCACTGTGTTGTACACCTGAAACTAACATGACATTGTAAATCAACTATACTTCAATAAATTTTTTTTTAAATACAGAAATACCCAGCACCCAATAAATTTCAAAATGCCTGGCATCCAATTATGAGGCATGCAAAGAAGTAGGAGAATATGACCCATAATCAGAGAAAAAATCAATCAATTGAAACCCACCCAATACTGTCACAGTTATTAGAATTAGCACACTAAGGCATTAAAATAGTTGTTATAACTGTATTCTATATGTCTGCATGTTAAAAAAGTTAAGTAGAGATGTGGAAAATATAAAAATAATGAAACTGAACTTCCAGAGACGAAAATTACAATGCCTGAGACAAACAATACACTGGGTGGGATTAATGGTAAATTAGACATTGCAAAATAAAGGATTAGTGGACTTGAGCACATAATCAAAGAACTATCCCTTTCATTTTAGAGGTGAGGAAACCAAGATTCAGATAGAGTTACATAGCTGAGTACCAGAGCTGGGATTCCAACCCAAGTCTTTCTCACTCTACACTTACTCTGTTATATTTTCATTTACAACAGAAAGAATAGGGTATTTTGCAATACTATGTGAGATATTTTCACATTTGGTTTAAGAATAAATCACAGTCAGGTATCTCTGATTTCTTTGAGGTGCTTAGGTCTAGAAATGAGTAGAAAGTGTATTCTGAAGGCTGGAAAACTGTCTTGGGTTTCAGATTTTCTGTCCCCCGTTAATACACTCTATTTGATCCTAAAGTAGAATTAGCAGGAGGTGGCATACCTGTAAATCCTCCTGAATGCTGTCAGAGGAACATTCAGTCAATTAATTGTCTGTCTCATATCTCAGCTATATTGTGTTTGAATCCTTTGGAGAGCTCGTTTCCTTTTTCTCCATTTCTGGTGAAAAAAGATCACTGCATTTTTATTGAAAAAGCAGAGTATAATGGCAATATTATTCCATAAAAGCTGGCATGTTAATATTCATTCTAATTAGCTCAGATTTGTAACATGCTTTAAAAGTGGGAAGTGTCATACAACTGCTCACTAATGTTGTTATTACATTATGATCCAAACTGTCAGCTAAATGATTGCCAGAGATTCAAAAGAGTTCCCATTTTAAAAATAAAATGGCCAGTTAGTGGGGAGGAAAACCACTTTATCTAAATAGAGGTGAGATAACAGATGAATGCAGACATAGAATTATAGGCTACACTTGGCAAGCATTGGATATGAATTGAATTGTTCCAGGAAAGCAAGCTGCATTTTATTTTATTTTCCCTCCCCAATTCCCTGAAATCACATAAGGTAGCTACTGAAAAAGCTGTTCTCAATATGTTGTAAGGAAAGTCTGCCAATGCACTTCTTACATTTTAATTACAGTAATGTTACATTCATCTGACGTTATTCGGAAGGAGAAGAAAAGATGCCAACGTTAATGAGCTCCTACTATGTGCCATGCATTTTACATACATTATTTCCTTACAGCCCTTTGAGGCAAGGAATTGTTATTTCCATTTACAGATGTGGTAACTAAGGTTCAGACTAGTTAAGCAATTTACCCAAGGAAATGTAGCTTATCATCTTTTCATTACATCATGCTATCTCAGGTTGGGTACTAATAGCATCATTCAGAATTGCATCTTTTCTTCTCAGCAGCCCCCAGTGGAAGGATTATTCCTCTTTCTCAATAGCTCCAGGAGGATGAGCGGGGCTGGCCAGGCTTGGGTTTCATGCCATCCCAGAAGCCAGGTGGACTCAGTTCCACCAGCACCACATGGAATAAGAGGAATGGTGGCTCCCCAAACAAAATAAGGGTACCATTTCCAGAGAGAGGAGGAATGGATGCTGGGTAGGTAAGACAGCAGATGCCCACTATACAGTTTCATGTCGCACGTCCCCTCTGTTCCCCCAAGCCTTGGATACAATCTGTGAACCACTACAGGCTCATGTTAACATTGTTATCAGGCAAATTATTCAGCCTCTCCAGTCTCCTGCTTCTTCATTTGTAAAATGACCTATGAAATAATCTCTTCTGGGCTAAAATTCTTTGATCCTGCTCTTATTCATCTCACAGACATTTATTGAACATTGTTATAGGCAAAACAGGGGGATGGGAATGTCGGAGTGTGCATGCGTTTATATATAGTTCTCTGGACCACAAACAAAATATGCCCTCTACTTTTTTTTTTTTGCGGTATGCGGGCCTCTCACTGCTGCGGCCTCTCCCGTTGCGGAGCAACAGGCTCCGGACGCGCAGGCTCAGCGGCCATGGCTCACGGGCCCAGCTG